GGCACATCTTGTCTGTGCCCCGAAGTCAATTAGACACAGGAGGGCTGGTTTATTCAGTTTTTCTTTTGTGGATAAACTTTGGACAGGTTTCTTGCCCAAAGACACTTGCCTGCTCAGACTCACTTTCATCTCTGTGCTGTAAGGCGTTCTGGCATCCAAGGACAGGACCACCTGTGGGAATGGATGATCCTGGTGACTCAGTGGGGTATTTTTATTTCTATAAGAGCAACAGATGTACTGCACTGATCCTCTCTCTGGTGGGCTTTGTGGTCTGCCCCCCGGGGATGGTGCTGGCAGCCTGGTGACATTCAGAACAGCTGCTGTTATTTTCGTTCTGGCCGGCTGTATCCAGCCTCTGTGGGATGGTGGTGCATCTGCTTTGTTTTTGGGGCAAGGTATGGAGCAGAGAAATTGAGAACTGCTTTAGAAAGGGAATCTGGTTTAAGATACAAAGGCTCGGGTGATGACGTCATGACTTTTTGTTTCAATATTCTCCTTAGCCTGACAACATAACTATCATTGTTAAGATCTTTTATAAACTGCTGGTGATCAAATAACTTCCCAAGTAACACATCAATGTTCCACCCAAAGGTAAATACATACCAGCCATATTAAAAAGGGCAGATATAATTCTTGTTACTTTAGCCAATTGCCTCCTTCAAGATATTCTCACCTCCATTTTGCATCCTCTGAACTTTAAGACACTAGCCGGCAACTATAGTAGAGCTGAAAAACTTATAAAAGACATAATAGCTCTGCCTTGGTGGGATGAAGGAGAAAGATGAGTATGCTGAAAATACTGATGGCTTTCACTGAATTTCACTGAATTTTAGAGTTGAAAGGGACCATAGAGATCATCTAGTCCAACTCCTCTGCTGAAGCAGGATTTCCTAGAGCTAGAGCATGTTACTCAGGACACTGAGTAACACTTGTAACACTTAAATTCTTATTAATCCTTTTTGGTCCACATGCATGTCCTCACCTACTGTGTGGGACCCTGCCATGACAGTTGACCTTAGCTGGCCACCAGGGGCCTACCAAGCCACTCTATCATTCCCCCTCCTCAACAGGACAGGGGAAGGAAATACTATGAAAAGTTCATGTGTTGAGATAAGCACAGGGAGATCATTTGCCAATTACTGCCAAGGGTAAATCAGACTTAAGTTGGGGAAATTAATTTGATTTATTATTACCAATTAATAACTGAGTAGGGTAGTGAGAAATAAAACCAAACTAAAATCACCTTCCCCCCACTGCTCCCTTCTTCCCAGGCTCCGCTTCACTCACAACTTTTCTACCTGCTTCCCCCAAGCAGTGCAGAGGGATGGGGAATGGGGGTTGTGGTCAGTTCATAATGTTTTGTTTCTGCTGCTCCCTCTTCCTCACACTCTTCCCCTGCTGGAGTGTGAGGTCCCTCCCGTGGGAGACAGTCTTCCAAAAACAACTTCAGTGTGCGCTCTTCCTATGGGCTACAGTTTTTCATCAACTGCACCAGTGTTGGTCCTTTCCATTGGGTGCAGCCTTCAGGAGCAGACTGCTCCAGTGTGGGTCCCCCACAGGCCACAGGTTCTGCCAGAAAACCCACTCCTACATGGGGTCCTCTCCATGCCCTCAGTTCCTGCCAGGACCCTGCTTCAGTGTGGGGTCTCCATGGACTACAGCCTCCTTCAGGGCACATCCACCTGCTTCACCATGGTCCTCCATGTGCTGCAGGGGCCAACCTGCATCACCCTGGTCTTCTCAATGGGCTGCAGGGGAATCCCCTGCTCCAGCGCCTGGAACACCTCCTTCCCCTCCTTCTTCACTGACCTTGGTATCTGCAGGGTTGTTTCTCTCACAATGTCTCACTCCTCTCTTACAGTTGCTGTGCAGCAGTTTTTACCCTTTCTTAAATATGTTATCACAGAAATGCTACCAATGTTGCTGATGTGGCCTTGGGGCCAACTGAAACTGGCTCTGTCTAACATGGTGGCATCTCCTGGTGTTTTCTCATAAAAGCAATTCCTGCACCCCTCAAGTATTGTCACACAAATCCAGTACACTCTGTTTAGATGTGTACCCTCCAACAGTGTCGTCTTGGGACAACTGTCTCAAATTTCCCGAAGGAAAGAACCAGCAGAGCTATTTGGGGACCAACTAATTAATCTTTATCACAACATGGGTGGTAATAGGACTGCATGATTCATGATAAAGACCAGGGGCAACTCTCACCATGGGGAAAGAGGGGTCCACCCCTGTCAGAATATTTTAACCCTTGAAAAATCTTTCTGATTTCTCTTTTGTACCAAGCATGAGGTGGTAAGGCACCACAACACAGAGGAACAGGAAGGGCTGTGACCTCGGTAGGGTAGATCCCCACCGGTTGAAAAAAACAAGACCTACCATGGGTATGGACACACCCAACAGCAGCTTCCCTTGCCATCTGGCCAGTGGTACCCAGCTTGCCCTCAACATATGCAGACAGGGAAACCTTCCCTGCCAGGTTCACTTCTGTCCAGGTGTCCCCTACCGTGTGCAAGACGGTCTGCAAGCAGGGTGCAAAAAATGTACACAACAATTATTTCCTGGATAAGAGAGGTAGGTATTAGACACCTGGGACTGATATGCTGCTAGGCTAAGCATTATTTCTTGAAGCAGAGTGAACCTTGATGTTGCTGAGTTGCTGTTTTCCTATCTCTGCTTTTTATCTCAGGACTTTATCTTTTTTTGTGTCATCATTCTTCCTCTTGAATGCTTGAACTCAATATGATCTCAATTACTTCATTTGATCTCGGTTTTTACTCTTTGTATCTCGCATGGCTTTAACTTGCACACTTTTCACAGCTCAGGGGTAATTTTGTCAACACAACTGAGTTAAGTTCATATGGCCATGCTGCTCCAAAACCAGCTGTTGAATCACAGACAGCTGAGTTTCTGGGCCATTTACTCCTAGTCTTGTTAAGGACCTGTGGGACCATCTACAGCATTTTGATACTGATGCCAGATTTTTCTTTAAGGCAGCTCCACTAGGTTCCCAGCAAACTCTTCCAGTGTTTCACTTGCTTTCCTGTTAAAAGGTTTTTCCTGCTGTCTTGCCTAAGCATTCCCTACTGCAGTTTAAGCCCATTACTTCTTGACCTCTTTGCTTGGAGAACAGATGATTCTCTTGCTTGTTGGGGTGCTATGCCTACAGGCTGACAAAGGAGCATGAGGCAACTAGGTCCTCAAAGAAATTTCTTGCCATTTTACTATAAGCATATTTTTCCATTTACTTATCAAATAAGAAATTTTTAGAAGCATTACGTTAAAATGTTACGTTACATTAAAAATTAAAAGTTACGAAGCATTAACATTGACTGTTGTTTCTTATGAAAGCTGGATGGCTTTTGCTCAGCTGGCAACTGTACCCTTTATCCAGGAGCTAAGTTTCCCACCTCTGTCATGATCTGGGAACAACCTGGGCATGGGCAATGGACCATTGGATGAAAGACTCTTCTGAGGTATGAAACAACACAATGAGCATGTCTGATCTAATTTTTAGTGGACTTTATGACAGAAGAACTCATTCTGTATCCAGGCAATGGAAGTTACCTTGTCCTGAATGTATTTAACATATCCCTGGAGTAATGTGACATGTTTTGGTGAGAGGATGCTGAATCTACCACTGAATGCAGATGGTTACTCCAGACATTTTGCCCAAGTCTCTAGCAAATAATGTCAGGAAATGAGGAGGGTGTTGATTCCAGTGAACTGCATAAACCTGAGCAGGGAGCGGTTTGTGAGCTTTTCAAGGTAGGTAAAATCTGAGTTGACCCTGAATAGTTGACCTTTGTGAGAATTTTTTGTTGCAGGGATTTTTTTAGCTCTTTTGCATTTTCTTTGCATAAGGGATGTGCAACCCCCAGACCACTTCAAAGGAAATGCTACGCCAAGAACTGAGCAAAGCATGGCTGTGACATCAGTAGGACATTTGCATACTGGTGTGCAATTGCTACACCTTTGCGTATTGATGTGGAGGTACTGCGTGCTGACATCAGAGTCCCAGGAACGCTGGAAGTGATAAAAGGTATTCATAACTCTGCCAGGGAAAATTTAGAGTTTGGAATGACCATAGTATGAAATCTTCTTTGCTTGAAGAACAAACAGTTGATTCTCAAAATGTCTTTAGGGGTTATTCTGCTAAGATGTACAAACGGGCATGTCCCCTGGAATTTGGCTGGTTTGGTACCAAGATTATCCCTTTAAACTGGCTGCTGCACAAAGAGGGAACAGTTTGGGACCTTTGGTCTGATGGGTCCAGATTTAAAGCTGACGCTTTAAGCTGCTCAGTCATCTTGAACACTGGTCCCTGAAAGTGTCTTTCAGATATTTGGTGCCCTGTGCAGCCTCCTGAATACCTGCTCTGTGCACTGTGTCACGTCTCTGTATTCTATGTACACTGGGTCATGTCCACTGCTGTGGAAACTTCTCCCTCTCTCTCTTGCTCTCCCAGAGTTGCTTCTGGATTTCCTGTCGAAGTGCCTCGCCCTTCCAGCCTTCTTTCCCTCAGAGACTTAATTTAGCTGCTGGTGCAGACAACTGGTTTCTCAGCAGCCTTCTTTTACCAGCTTAGCTTCAGTGAAGCGGTTTCCTTTACTAAAAACTGTTTCCGGTTCTTCAGAGACTTCAGAGCTGTCCTCTGGGAGCTGCTGCCTGACTAGACCTGGCAAAGCTGTCACTTGTTTTCAAACAAAATCTATTTCAAGGCACCCTCTGCTGGCTGAGTGTCCCTTCTTTGCTGTCCCCAGGCAGATTTATTGGCGTATAATCATGCTGAAATGCAATAATTTGTGATTAAAGGAAACCCTATGCTATTGGTAAAAGATATCTGATTAATTGGAACTATGAGATGCCATCTCTGATAGGTATCTAAGGTTCCTACAGTAGTTTGCATGTTCTGCTCAGTTCAGTGGGAGGTGTCTCAAAATGAAGCTATCTATCTTGCTCCTACAGATATGAATTGCACAACCCAGTTAAAAAGAGTTCCTAGTTAAATCTGCTACACGCTACAGCAGAGAAATAAGTGCAAAAGACCCAGCCAGAGAGAGCAAGCCACTTTTCTGCTTTCCGAAGATTCTGCTTTCTGGCTTTTTCTGCCAGATGGTAGGTTGAATTTTTACACTATCATTTAAACAAAAATAACTGATGCTGCTGGAAATAGTATGAAGTATTTTAGAAGAAAGTTTATTTCAGTTTATTTATGTGCTTCTTTATCTCAAGAAAAAATACTAGCTTTAAATAGGGGATACACTTACATGATAGAAAATTTTTGGGACCAGCATAAAGGCTGATCTTATAATGAAGTGTATTTAGAAAAGGATTTGCCCTCAGTTTTCTGGCAGATATTTTTACTAATTATTCAAAGACACAGAAAATATTTACTGTGCAATGGATTTTTTCTGAGTTTAGTGTATTTATGTACTTTTTTGATTCAAAATAACTTGTAAGAACGTGTATATCAATTCTAGCATTTCCATACTTAAATATTGAAATTCCTAAATTTTACACTTAGAGCTGTAACTAGTGTACGTTAACTATTGTGAGTGCTAGTTCTAGAAGAAATTCAGTGTTACTGCTGCTATTTAAGTAGCTCATTTTCACTCAGAATATGTTTTCTGGTTTGGTAAAAGAACGAAAATAACTTTTAAAAGGTGAATGGATGAATTCTATGTCTTAGTAAATGAATTTCACACAACTTGTATTTCATGGTATGTTTACATTGTAAAGTCTGTTAAGCTTTTTGAAGTAGAAATTGCAGTAGCATTTCCAAGTTTTGTTAGTATGCAAGGTATGGTACTTTTATAATGTTTGTTCACTTATATAAACAGTACTATAAACAGCTTGTTGCCAAATACGATTTTGGGAAAAAAATGACAAATATGCTACTAACACAGTTGCCTTTGGAAAAGCAAGGAGTTAAGCCCTATAGACTACTACTTCTGTGACATAATAGGGGGTTCCCAGTTCTTCTATCTTCCTTTGTTGTTTGATCTTAGGGGCTAGGTTTTGACATACTCAGGTAGTTATCCCAAATCTCTATATTTGGATCTAGTGCTTTTTCAGCATCGTTCTGAAGTTTTCCTTCAGAGAGCTTAGAATTAAGCTCATAGCACACAGTTACTGTGAGCTATAGGAAGAAAGAGATTCACTGAAAATGTGTCTTTTTCTTTTTTCCCCTGAATATTAGGGGTCTAAATTTATGGAAGACTGAGGACAGAAAAATCTGTTATGCAAATTTTACTTCAGCCAAATATAATAAAACGTAAGTTCTAAATATATCTGCAAAAGCAGAAAGAAAATTCCTATCTTTTTCCAGAAACTGTGCCCTTTGTCTCTCAGTGCTTCAAGCTACAGAAACTTCTTCCTTTTGACTGTGAGATGTGAGGTGTCTTAGTGCTTTTGTCTTGTGCCTCATAATACCCTTTTTATTTGACCCAAGTATAACAGATGTGTGGATGCTTTCACCTTGCTTCATGCCAGCTAATGCCACAAACTTAATCTGCACTAGTGAATCAGTCCTCCTCTTGCTGTTTGCTGTCTAGAACTGCAATCTCTGCCTCAGTTTTTATTGAGATAATTTGGTAGTTTGATGCTGACTTTGGAAATTGCAGTGAGAATCTTACTGTTCTTTTAATTGCCTGAGCTCTTTGTATTTTCAGGGAACATTCTTCTTTAATTGAAGCCCCATATATTGGAAGTACTCGCACACACAAGCTGCAAACTCTACTTAAACTGTCACCAATACACAGCAACTTAAAAATGGGAGGGGGGGGGAGGGAATCAATAAAGGCATCATCAAAGCTATGTGGGGAGAAATCTGTCCTTTTCAGTGCAACTATTTTGCACTGCTTTGGTGCAGGCTGGTAGCCCAATATGTGTAAGGTCTCTCAAAGACATACTTTTCCAAGAAACAGAAGGCTAAGTACAACAACCTGCAAATACAATGACAGGCAAATACAAATTTCTTACCCCTGGATCATTCTGGGACTTGTTAGAAGAGTTGGTGAAGGCAAGTAATTGGCTGTCACTGTTCCTGGACAAAACTCTGTCTCACTTGCAGGGAAAAGGATCCCAGCAGCGAAGGAATATTCTGAATATTTTGTTATGTCTATTTAATTACTCGAATGCTCTAATGACATTAAATTCTGCTTATCACTCAGCTTAGAGTTCTTTACTTATCTGATTATTAGGGTCTGGTTGGAGACTTTACTGTGGAGACTCAGTTGATATAGAGGTATCTAATTTCAGCCCTGCTGCAGCCAGTGTTCTGCATATCATGTTTGCTTGTGTGTATTCACGTACATGTATTTTGCATCCTGTAGACATTCAGCACCTGATGGCACATTGCTCTGGAAGGCTGCATAAATACCTTTTGGAGGGATTTCCTTGCTTACACCACTAGTTCTGACTATGTATATAACATGCTGCAGTCCCAGATGTGTTAGTCAACCTCTCTTCAGAATGAATGAGCCATTCCAAATGTATGTGGGTACCAAATAGTTTAAAGTCAGCTTGCAGAACTGGCCATCTGCCTGGACAGAAGGATCTTTTAGGAAGAAAAGGTCTTCTCTGCATAAGCCAATGCTACATAGCGAAGTCACAAGTATCTGGAAATGATGAGTTATTGGGAATGATCAATAACTTGAGCTCTTGTGAGCTGCAAGTGAGAAATGTCACTCCTGTGAGAAAAACCAAGTGAGACATAGGGTAACCAAAGCTGATTTGAAACAATAAGATTAGGTACAGTAGCAGGTAGTGAAAGACAGTTAACTAGAGTGGAAATTAGTGCAGAGAATGAAGTGATGTTTTAGAGTACATCTGTGTACATGAAATGAAGTCAAGGAGCCATGAGTCCCCTTTGATCAACTGTGATCAAAGTAGATCTGAGCTGATGAGTGAATTCAACAGAGTTGCTGGCAAATCAGATCTGTTTAGTTCCTGAACTGGATCCAGGCCTCTAGTAATCAGGCTACGTGGAACTCAGCTCCCTATTCCCACCTGCCAATCTAGTTTCCTCCCTGGTAGTGTCAGAAATAAGTTACAGGAAAAAAACCTTCTTCTCTAAAGGATGAACAAAGACAAATGCTTTGCTGTGTTGATGTTGTGAATATTTGTTGTGTGCTGTTTTTGTCTGTATCTTTCTTCCCTGAGGGCCTACCTTGTCCCAGGTTACTCCTGAACCCTCTTCTGGACCAGCTCATTCATTCCTTCCAGGGCAAAACTTCTAATGTTGGTTGTGCTGAAAAGTGCCTTCTAAAAATTTATTAACCTGGCCTAAGATTTCCTTAAAATTAAAAAAGTCAATAGACTGCATGTGCTTCTATGTGGTGCTTTTCTCCAGCTCTAATGAAAGTGAGCAGCACCTCAAACACGTAGCTTCTAGGAGCTCCTGGCCAGTCACTTGCTTCCCATATCAAGCATGACATCAGCCTTGCCAGGACATTAAACCTTGGATGCTGGTTTTTTGGTCTAATCCTCATCTTTTCTGTGATTTGTGAGTATCCCTACAAAATAACTACACTGAAATTCTCACACTTTTCTCTTCCAACAATGGTTTTTTTTAAATTATTTTTAAAAGTTTTAAGAATAAGCCTCTGGTTGTTATTAAACCTTCTAAAAGAAGAAACTTTCTATATCAATAAAAAGCCAATGACATTTCTGAAAGCTCAAAATCGAGTTTGTTCTGAATTTCAGGCTTGGCAAAAATGCAGGTCTTTATAAGGTCTGTCAACGTTTGTTTAGTCTGGAAATCTTTGGCGCTGAAATGAAAATTCCTTGCAGTAAGTGTGACGACAGTACTTGCTTTGCCTGTACTTTTCTTGCCTATTTTTCACTACTTCTCTTGTGCTCACTATCTGCAAGATAAAACATAATTTGTTTCTAAAGTGATTTCTCTTGAAAACTTATCTGCCATCTGTAGTACCGTGGAACCGCTCTGTGATCTGCAGTGAAGGACAGCTTTCAAGCAAAACTTTATCAATTGTAAGTAGAACGCTTACAGCTATGTAATACAGCTGAGTTGCATGCCTTCTGTCTCCTGAGATATTCCTAGATTAGATCAACCTACTGTCCACGGACAAATAACCAGTTTTTTAATAAAAGGACTTGCTGGAGAGTGCCTGAGCCACCCAGCAAGGTGTGAATTACAGCAGGTGCATATCAATTAGACACAAATGAAAACAGTCAGTGAGGCATGGGATGTGCCCTACTGCTGTTACTAGAGTATAATATAAATTCCTTCCCAGTCCTTTTCTTCAGTTCCCCTTCACGTTGGCGTTGCTGATGGCACTCACCTGGTTTTGTTCTTACTGTTAAACACTTTCCTAGAGAAGCTGTCACTGAAGATACCTCCACTTCTGTAGAAAGCCAAAAAGGTGTTGTGAAGCTAAGCAGTTGATTGGATGTAAGCTTAAATCAAAGCCAGGATATGTATTGAGGTATAATTTTTTTTTGCATTGGATTATGAAGAGAATTCCAACATACATTTAATTTAACTTCCATACAAATAAAAAGCAACCAAGCAAGAGGCTTCTGCCTGAGGCCCACTGTGGCAGAGTAATTCCCCACCCCCATTAAACTAAGTCATAGCAGTAGTTTCAATGGGACATCAACTATTGCACTTATTATAGAGCAAAGAGGATCATCTCAAAGCTGCAAAGCCACTGCTACACACACACTCTGTACAGAGCAGATCACATGATGCAGTTTATCATTGCACGATACCATTATCTGTTAGTAGATGTTCATCAGTACCATGGCAGTAGCATAACTGGTGCAGCCAGAGCATATTTTGGCTGGATATATATCAATGTTTTTCTTTTTGGTTTAGAAATATGATGGGGTGTATACATCTGATCTTCCTATCTACCTTCCTCTCGGTTTCCATGACATCTGAAACATGTAAGTAACATTTTAAAAATACTTTCAGATGAGGTTTATTCTGTAGAAATGTGTAGACTGTTCCCAAATTGGCAATGTTTTTTTAAACCTAAAATTAGCTAGTTTACCTCAGGCCAAAAATCACAGCTTAAAAACTAGCTTTATGTGTTTTCTCTGTATATTAAAATGCACTGAGTACTGTCCATTTATGTGACATTTTAGTGGAGGTTTGACTTTTGCTCCTTGGCATCTCTGCAAGCAAAAAGAGGGTCTTTTTGAAAGGATTTGAGAGTAGATGATGTTCTAGGGCCCAGCTGGACAAAGTTTCCAAGAACATGATTAAATGGCGCTGTGCACATGCACCCTGCTGAACCAGGGGCGTTTTGCTCTCTAAAAATGCTTTTCAATTCCCTGTTTTTGGGGGTGTTAATACACAAGTGCAATGTAACAATAACATTTCCCTGTATATGGGGGATATTTGAAGCAGTAAACTCTTTCTGATGGGTCAGCTCTGCTGGCTCAGCTACATAATGCTGACCAGCGCTGACCAGTGACGCACCCTTACATAGCACTCATGTAGTTCTAGTCTCCGGCTGAGCTGCTTATTAGCCTGGTATATATTGGAAGACATGATCTCTAAATATTTCCCAATATTCTCAATTTCATAATATGAATGATAATTTTCAAATGAATTAGATTTATTAAGAGGCCAAATTTGAAGAATTTGCCAAGATAATTTTCATGGATGTCATCGAGTTTAGATGAGGTGTTTCATTTTCTATGTGTTTCCTCTCCTCTTTTTCCCAAAAGAAAACTGTATTTCCAGTGTGTTCCTCCTTCGGTGGGGCAATGCCCTCTTTCCTCACACTCCTCATATGTTCCATTGTATTTGCAAGGCTCAAGGGTGGGAACACTGTTAAAATGGTGGGATTGGGGGTAGTCATACCCGATGTGGCTGATTTAGGTGCCTGAATTAGCAAGGTGACATGTAGTAACAGTAAAAAAGGACTGCTTCTTTAGAAAGAACCATAGGAGAGAAACCATGTGTTCACTATATAGAGTTGAGCACCTACACGTGTAAAGCCAGGCAGTGGCAATACTCCCTCAGTGTGATTTTTGATAGAGATTCTCTATTTTGTTTTGCTATTTGGTTACCTACTCTCGTTTTCATACTCGCTTACCTACTGTAACTCCTCCGCCAATCTCCATCTCTGTGCAGTCTCCTTCCTTGCTTATTTTCTCATCTTCTCCAAAATGCAATTAACGTTCAGATTAGGGTTTCTGTTTTCAGCAGACAGTTCTCTGTTAAGGTGCCTGGGCACTTAAATATCTGTCATAATTTTTTTATTCCGGTTTGGCTGGACCAGCTTTAGTATTTAAAAGTAAAAATACACTCAGTTAAAAAATTTATTAAATTAGTGCCTTACTGCCAACTCCTTACTTTTTTTTTTTTTTTTTTTTTTTTTGTGGTTTTTGAGAAGATGATTCTTCCTGCAATCAAACTGTAAACTTGTCTCAACTGAGCATGAATTCAAAATATTTTTTTTTTCACCAAAAAAAGAGTATGTTTGTTATAAAATAGATCCTCCCACCCCCTTTTTTTTTTTTTTTTTTTTTTTTGCGTGGTTTGTCTTCCTACGCTTCTTATTTGTCTCTAATTCCTTTCTGGCATCTTTTCACCTTCCCATCAGATTATTCCTTTCCATCTGTTACATTTCATTCATATTTTTTTTTTCACATTTTTGTGAACTTTGGAGAGAAGCTCTTCTGGCTTTTGTCCTTTTTGATTTTTTTTTATGGTCTTGTCTACAGGCTTCCTACTTCTTCTAGCTTTTTCTTCAATGAAAGAAAAAAAATCTTGTTTTTCTTTTTATATATTAAAAAGGCAGAGCAAGAGCTCTTTTCTGTTGATAAATAAATATTTGTGTTGAAGTAAGGAAAGCTAACTTCATAGTACAGCATTAAAACCAGTGCTTTTATTTGCATTTAAATTCCTGTTTTGAATAAAACCAGGATTTTAAGCAAAGATTTGGATAAGATTCCTTTAAAGAAATCATTGTTTTTCCATTAAAACCTCATATTTTGTAGTGTATCTCTGGTTTGAGTCTACGGTTGGGGTTTTTTTTTCCTTCTGTCCCACACATTATTTACTATTTTTGCAAACAAATGACTCCATAACTTAAGGTAAAAAATTTCTTTCTTTATCCTGTGAGCATAAGTATCTGAAAACTCAAGGAAGGTACTTAGAGGTGCATGATTGGCCTGTTGATTCACGAATGCCAAGTTCTCCTCTGTCTCAGTGCGGCTAAGGTGTAATTAATCTGAGATTTTTATATTTTGTTCATTTGCAGTTGATGCAATGGAAGGTGAGGCTTTAGTCATAAAATGTCCCCGATGGAGTTCTTCTGTGAAAGTGACCTGGTATCACACAGATACTAACGAAATAATTCCTGCAGAAGAAGAAGGATCACGAATATTTTCCTTAAATAGATTTCTTTGGTTTCTGCCAACTTCTAGAGAGGATTCTGGAAACTACACGTGTATTGTACATTTGTAAGTACAACTTCGAGAAGTGAAAGGCATAGACTGGACACATACTTCCCCTCTCCCCCCTACCCCTCCCAGTTTTTTAATAATACAATCTAATTATCATCTGTGGAAATTATGCCTTTTTTTCATGGTGTACACCAAGTCATGTAACTTTTCATTCTGAAATTGCTATTTTTATGAAAGGTCATAAAAAATCAATCTGTGACTGAGCAACAATAACCATCCCTATATTTATAAAAACTAAAACTCACGTTTGTGACAAATATTTAGTATATTCCATAGAAAAATACTATCATTGACATACCTTTTTTTTTGTTTTGAAAGTTCAAATAATCGCACAAAATCGTTCGACATGAGTGTGCAGGTGCATCCATACAAGCAAGGAGTATGTTTCCCAAGTCAGATTCGTTACCCAAATGAGACTGGAAGAGGAAGAATTGTTTGTCCTACAATTGATAATTACAAGAATGCTACTATCATCCAGTGGTATAAGGTAAACAGAACCCTGATAGTGCCAGCTGTATATCAGATTACCTTGAGAAGCTATTTGCAGCCAAATAAAGGAAGTTTTCTTTTTCAGGACTGCAAACCTATTCAGGGAGAGAGATACCTCAAGGAAGAAAAATATGTTTTTATTAAAAACCCAAGAGAGGAGGATGATGGTTATTACACTTGTCAATTTACCTACACTCATAAAGGAAATGTGTTTAATGTATCAGCAACAAGGATTTTCGTAAGTGAGGGTAAGAGTAATTTTGTAACTTGCTCAGATAAAAAAGACTGATGTCTACTCAAAGCAAAGAAGGCTCCTTTTGTAAATTACAGAGAAAATGAGTTTCTATTGGTTTGATTTATCTTAATTTAGCTTTAAATCAGCTTTATAAAGTGAATTTTGTGGATGGGGATCCAAATGAAGCAAGGGGAGGTGGGTAAATTTCGCTTTCAGCTTTTTTCTTAAAAGTCTCTGATGACTCTGATTACATATGGTGGTTGGTAGAGCTGTCTGGTAGTACTTATTTCTGAAAGGAAGGGTCTCCTCAGTGGGATGCCACAAAGCTCAGCTTTCTATTTGTTTGAGGGGAGAAGAATTTGTTGTGATCAATACCTTCTGGTCCATCTTGATTGTCTAGCCTTTATTTGACAGTAGGCCTTAAAAAAACTTTCAGATTTGTCTTGAATGAGAGAAAATGACAGAATACATATATATATATAGACAGAAAATGAGTGGAGTTTGGTGATTATTGTGTCTTTGTTATTTTGAACTCAGCCAACATGGTTGAGATATGTGGGCTTTGGGGCGCCTCTAGGATGCAATCTCCTCAGGGAGGCTTTGTATTTGGATGGTGGTCAGGGGAAGAGCACACCGCAATCAACAGCTCCAGCTTGCAAGACTTTAAAATGTGTCTTCAGTTTTGCAATCAGATCAGCAGAAAAATAGTCAGAAGGGCTGCTAGGGGTTTGTGGACAGGGAGAGCTTGGGTTTAGTTGTTTGGTTTTTTTGTGGTTTGTTTTTTTTTTTTGGTCCCAAAATAGATAATGTTAATTTGTAGACTGACATCAGAGCTTTTCGGGAAGGCACCCGGCTTTGTGGGTGAAATGCAGATTTGGAGCGTAGGGGCCTTGATTCCAGTTTTTGCTGCTCTGCCCAGATCTCAGTAGCGGAGTTTGTTCTGATTATTATGAGCTGGACAGAAGATAGGTTTGGGCTGAGACCTAATCAGCCAGTAGCGTATGAGGTGCCGTGCCTTTCCTCCCCATCTTCCCTGTAATACCCTGTTGGACTACATGACACTTTTCTGCCTAAGAATTTTTGTTGGAATGTACTTTCATCATAACTTCTCTAACTGCCGAGGAATATCATTGTGTCTGTGTTACAATGAAAATTTCCGAGTTTTATTTGGCACAAAGGCATCCAAATTTACAAAGGCCTTTGTTACACCCAGGCAAATTGCTTCAATTCAAATTTTATCTTACTTTCTTTTGAAATCATTGCAGAAAGAAGTGATTGCAACATCACATGTGAAATCTGATCTGGGTCTGTCATGTCCGCTTCAATTTTTACTAAATTTGAAGTACTTAATGACAAATTCTTTGAGTTTTTATCAGCCCTTAAAATTAGTATGCTGACGACTGGAGCTGTTATGTTTTGATAATATTGGCTTAAGATGTACATTCCTGTTGCCTTGCAAATCCACACTGACCCGGAGGACCTTCTGCCTCTGCGTGCTGGCAGCTAAGAACTTAGCATAGTCAGCTAGCTAGGAAGTTAATGACTTTCTCCTGACTTCATTTTTCACTGGATCCAGCTAATGAAAAATAGAAACAGTTAGGAAGGGTGAAAAGGTGTGATTTTCTGGCAGCCTGGGAAGCAGGGTGTTGGTTCCTGCAGATTTTTCAGGGGTTTCATAGAGTTGCCTTGAGACAGAAAAGTTTAATGAGGGAAAGGGTAGTAAGCAATGTTTTGAGAGTGGGAAATATGAGACAGTACAAAGGGCAAAAAACCAAAAAAAAAGCCCACCAAGGGAAAAAAACCTGAACGATCTGAATACCTAATTCAATTCAAGTGGCTAGATGTAGTTTGGCCCTGTCCATAACAATTATTAGTTGGGGCTGAAAATAAATATGTCAAAGGAAGAGTAGTATTCCTTCTACAAGGTGATGCAGACTGGTGTAAAGGGAAGCAGCAGTGCACAGACAGCAGAAAGAAGGGCCTGGGAACCAGATGTGCTTGGCTATCAGGCTGCAGAGATGGGGGCAACAGAAGGGAACACAGGCAGGTAGCTGTGGGCTAGAGGGTCCCCAGTTCAGATACTACATGAAAATACATATTTGCTATTTCATATAATGGATGTGAGTAATTTCTCAAATGTCTGAAGGAATTTTTTTATCTCTTTTAAAAACAAAATAAGCAACCGAGAAAAACCCCAAACCTATAACTGCATTTTCCTTTTTTTTTCCCCACTCAACAGCTAAAACAGTACTTGAAAAACTAAAAATTTTCCTTTATCTTTATGTACAAATCTGAAAATTAAATAAATGGGGAGAAAATACTTAAACTGTTAACATGCACAGAATACCCAGGAATATTTAGTCATAGGAATAAGATCAGATGATCCCAACAGACATGTGAAACACTGTTTTAGTGTTAGTTTGCAAATCTGCTTTGGGATCTTAAAATATTAACTGTACAGATCGTAATCATTATCTTGCAAAATATTTTTTCACAACTAATTTGTGCTTTCTTTCCCTTCTTAATTTCTAAAGCAAAACACTCGCCTCTACCTCCTCAAATTTTATTTCCAAAAGATAAAGATATAATAGAAGTGGAGCTTGGTAAGTACAGGCTATAAATTGTTTTAAAATTAACATTTTATGGTGGCCCAGTGAACATGGGAATCTTCAAGAAGTTGTAACGATGGAATTTTTCATTATTTTTTTGCATATAATGTTTACCAGTTTCATTCAGTCCAGGCACAGTGATGTGAAGTTATCTAACTGAGGGGTTATTTAGGTATTAAGCAGCAATTTAAGGGGATTTGAATAACCCATTCTACCCCTACTGGGATAGACTAGGAACTCTCATTAAGGGGATTTGAATAACCCATTCTACCCCTGCGGGGATAGACTAGGATTACTCTCAAGGTCAATGGTTGCATCTTGGCTGAAGGGGTGACATCTTCCATCTACTTCAAAGAGGGCTTTAGCTAAATCCATTGAAACTTCTTGATGGTACCCCTAAGGGAGAAAGATGGACTGTTCCTGCAACTAGAGATACTCCTTATTACTTGTGGTTCCAGTCTGGAGACAGTGGCTGTGGCTCTCTTGATGAATGAAGGAGAACAAGGGACGAGTCGCTGGCCTTGACGCCATGGAGGACTGCCTGGCTCATGTCCACATTGGCTAGCATTGAGCAGACCTCTCTGGTTGGAAGATACTGAGAGGGCTGAGAGACAGGACCAAGGGGTGGATTTAGAAATAGCAGTTGGAGAGTCTGTGATGCAGAGCTTGCTCCCTGCCCCCCTTTCATTTAGGACTATAGAAGGTCTCAGAGATTCAGATTCACCCTGCGTAACTTGCAGCACCAGAGCAAGGTGCTTGTGGCAGGAGTGAGAGCCACTCAGAAGTGCTGTGTTGGCTCGCATTCCCCTTCACTTCTTCCTCTTTCCCCCAGTTGCTTTGTCACTCAGAATTAGACGATCTGTGCCCCAGGACCACCTTTCTCTAGTAAGATGGTGAGTCTCTAGTGCTCTGGGGACTCTGCCCCCCGCTCTGGGACAATAAATAATCTGGCACTGCTTGCAAGGAGCAAATATACTTTACATTTAAAAACCCTTTGCTGTACTGGATCTATTGTCTCCGATTTGCAAAACTGAAGGGATTTCTTCGTGCTCCCTAATAACAATACAGGAAATAAGTCATACAATTTGTAAATCTTATCTAAGCCCTGCTTAGATGCAGATTTACATGGAAATAATTTAAAGTGTTTTAATTTACCTTCTTCCAGTGCAACGGCAACTCTTACTTTGAAATAAATATTTTCTAATGACAAATACTTAATAAGTAATTTCCTGTTTTAGTTTTGCTTGGACTGGTTCACTTTACTGTTGTCCAGCTTGAATAAAAGCCAAGATAAGACTCTTCACTCAAGACTTACGCAAAATAATATATACTGAAATTAAATTACGTTGTTTGCATGTACATTTGTGTGTAAACCAGTATTTACTTTCCATGTTCATTGGTAGTTGATTACGTGGGCTAAGCATCACAAGTAATGTCTACATTGTGTTCATCATAACAAATGTAAATAATTCATTTAGTAGTCCTTGGTGTTGCATGAGATAATTTTTTAAAATCTCCTTTTACCGTTTCTTTTTGAATCTATCCTATGGATCATTTTCTCAGCAGAAAAAAGTGTCAAAATTGTTAAGAAAGAGGCGGTATGAAGATTTGTAGAAAAAAAATGTTATGAGGAGAATAAAATTATACTTGTTTTTCATCATGGAATGTTTACATCTCTCTGTGTCTCAATTAGGTGCTGCTTTGTCTCTGAAATGTCGGGCCCGCTTGGGGATTAAGAAACCACCAGTGGCTGCTGTTGCATGGGATGTGGATAATATCCAGGTGAAATACTTAGATTTTTCAAGATTTCACGAAAAAACTAATTTGTAAGTACATATAACACAGAATAACTTTTGTTCTATGCAAACTGTGCCTATCCATTAAAGACAACAGTACCAGCTATTTCTCTCTCTACTAGTTTTGAAGGACGTGTGCAAGAATATTACAGAGAGACCACCTTGCACATTACTGAAATAAAAAAAGAGGACTTGCAAGCAAATTTCACGTGTGTAGCGGTGAACGAAATGCAAAACACAAAGGCCACGGTGACGTTACGACTCAAAGCACAAAGTGAAAGTAGGATTTTTTTCATTTTATTTTCTTACACTTTGCACTCTGTTAGAAATACATTGGTCATTATATTTTATTTCATTATTTGTTTCTGTTAGTAAGAAAGTTTCTGCTAGTAAGAGGGAATACCAGCTGCTTCCTCCCTACATATTCAAAAGGGTGGCAAAATTTGTGTGGCTTCATTAGGTCATTGAAGTCCTTGGGGTAAATTTTGCTGGGGGGAGGGCATTGCTCAAATGGTATCAGTGAAAGATTAAATACTCAGAGCAGCACAGTCTATCAGTCTTGTAATAAGAATATCCTGTTTCTAGGATATTTTTGCTCAGTGACAAATTCCTTATCAGCTATTTGGAAATCATTTAGAAATTATCTACATACATCACCTAAGTACTGCAGTTATCAGGAGCAGTGCAATGCAGTCAGCTACTTTTGTTGTGTTTTGGTGGTATCCAGACTACTCGTACTATGTCTGTTAGGCACAGAGGAATTAGGCAAATTCTTTCTTTTCTTTAACAGAAGAATTTTAATGAGTAATTGTCTATGAATTTTGACAGTCTCCACAGCTGTTCTTGCCTTCATTAGGAGGTGCTGTTGTTCCTGTGCCTTTCAGCTGCTGCCGCTGCCAAATTCAGAGGTTTCTTCTCCTCCTGCTAAGGAAGATCTTTCTCAATTTTTTCCTCATCTATCCCCTGCCTAGACATTGATCACCTCCAGTCAATACGCCGTCCATCCAGTCCATCCTTCCATGCTGTTTCCCATCCTTTCTCTCTCCTCTTTGCCTGAAGCTGTTTGGTATCTTCTGACTCCTTCACCAACACTTGTTCATGAATACGTTTTTCATGTGTCATAATACCTCTTTACAGAAAATACAGGCTGTCTCATTTCCTCCAGCTCTTTCAGTCCTACATCCCCCTTCTTAATTCCAGGGATGATCATCAACCCACATTTTACATTCCCTCTCTGCCGCAAGACATGTCCTCTCATGTGCTCTGAGATCATCTGTGTAACTTGCGTGGTGTTGGCCTCTGGTCACTGTAAGGCTAAGGATGTGTGACATTTAATTCCCTTTTCTTCCACATTTCCTGAAAAAGATGTAGCTAGTCTTGCTGGACACCTGGCAAGAGACAGCGACTCTGCCTGCCAAACTACTCCCAGTTGCCTTCTACAGCTGCTTGGTGTCTCTCAGGCTGGGAGATGTCACCTCTCAAGAACAGGAAAACGAATCGGCTGCACTGTTCATGCCAGTTCAGCTCATTGATAGTCGCAGTGGATCAACGCTCACAAAAGAATTTCTGCTGGCAGAGGGAGCTGGGGGGAACCTGTTAGCTCCTGAGAGAGAGGCAGTGACAAATAATTGGAGAAATGCTGAAAGTTTTAACTCCTTCTACCAGCAGAGCTGGGTCAGGACAGGAATGTCCCTTCAGCATCCCCTTTAACCTGTCTGCGAGGGAATAGATGGACTGTCTGAATACCTTCCAAGTCCTTCCCTTTTTATTAATATATAAGCTGCCACTGGCTTTTAGTTCCTCACTTGATTCAGGGCTGGTTAAATAACTGGAGGTGGCTTTTCATGTGTCTGACCCACAAGCATCATCTTATTCCTCCCTGAGCATTCCTAAATTCTCATTCACAAGGAAGTGTAAAATGCCCAGAGAACCACACATTTTCTGGTGTGAACTCTCTTCTGTGGAGCATACCAGAAATTCCAGTCATTTGGAGCAGAGATAAAGTTCAGCACAGAATATCATCTCTGTTCGTCTTCAAAGATATTTAACACCAAACCCAACCTTTTGGTCATCTGTGGCAGATGGATGTGGACAGGAATTCCAGACTCAGATCTCCGCCTTCATTGTCTGGAAGTGAGTCCACCTTAGAAGCCAGAGAAGTTACAAAAAACTGCTGTTCTTCTGGACTGTTGCTTTCTGACTTGTTGTCTTTGGCTTCTCCAATATTATTTCTTGTGAGCTGATAGTTCTGTATTCCCATTGCTCTTGAATATAAATAAATAGGATTAGAAGACAGTCTACTCATGAACTCTCTGCCACTAGATGATGCAGCAAAGTCAAATGGAAAAACAGGGTCTGTTCAGCCTCATTCAGGGCCTCCAAAAGTGGCTTCTGGCCCTTGCCCCCATTATGCTGGAGACAGATAGCTGATTTATTCCAGAGAAACAGGAGTCTGAGTCAGCCATACCGGGAACTGAACCTGCTTTTCCAGGAAGAGCCCTGTGGGGTTCTTGTCTGATGTTTTAAAAGCTGTATAAGCACAAGAAATTTATCACTTCTTTTCCACCCTTCGTCTAATCAGTGCAAAACCAAATGTAAACAGCATTTTTTTGGGGTTCGTAATTGCAGAATTTGTTGTTTGAACCTGTTTCTTCTCTAGATATTTTATAGATACTTACTCAGTGTGCTACATCAGTATTTGTAATGTCGTGGTGAGCACGCTCTCAGCAAATGAACCAATAAGAAATAATGACAATCTTATCCTTGGGTTGTTCTCACTAGGTAGTGGAAGGGGTTTTCTGATTTTGTCTCTGTGTGTGTATGGACCAAAAAACCGGATCAAATCATAAAATTTGAAGAGGTCCACAAGAACAAAGCCCCTTCAAAGGCATCACATGACACTGTTAAAACTACAAAAGGGCCAAACCTTATGATAAAAGAAGCTGGTTCTTTTCGTGCCCACTTCAATCTTATTAGAAGGTGGTTTTCCCAGATCTCCTAGTTCTGGTGAGATAGTCTTCATCATGTGCCTGATGTTTCTTTCTCCCTTTAAATGGCGAAGAAAGAAACAGGAAGAGTGTGAAAATTATGTCAGATTTGCCTCTCCTCCTACTAGAGGAAAGGGAAAATGTACTGTAAACTCTTTATTTATATAGCTTTTCAGTGGAATTTCTCAGGCACTTTTAGGTTGCTTCCATAAGATCTACTCGATACACTGTCCTGTTCAAATCTCCTGGAGGAGCCAGGAGATTTGTAATTGTAAATTTCAATATAAGGCTCTTCGCTGCTAAATATTTTATCTTATTTCATTCCCTTAGTGCCAAGTCCAAGATAAAGCTCTGAAATTTCTCCTTGGTTGTAGTCAGAGCCCTCACCTGGCAGCTTTCTGGCTGCATACAATCTGCAGCATTTTCCAATCTCTCTTGCTGCTGCTTATGTAGAGGAAATTGAGGCCGCCTCTTCAGCCTGTTGTAAAGTGGACCTCCTCAAGTGCTGGTGAATGGCCTGCTGCTGCAGCCACATGTGTCTTGTTGTGTGTTTTGCAGGTGGAGGGAGGAAAATATTCAGGGTTTTAAACATCTGATCCCTGCTCAGAACACGCAAGGCTTGGCTGGGTGGAATTGCTATCAGTACAGGTAGTCACTCTCCATGGCTTGAGTTGCTGTGAAGGGTCTTTACAGTGAGGATGCCAGAGCTCACTTCTATACTGATAGAATGCTTGTATTTAAATGTGGCCAACATTCAAAGGAATATTTCTTTCCTCAGCTAAAATAATTCTGAATTTGTAGCATACCTCAAATCTCATTGGAACACTGAAGAGATACATGCTTCTAGTCATATTCTAACTAGGGCATTGCAATCTTTTAATTATTATGTTTGATATACCATAGTAAAATAAAAATACAGGTGGGCCCGTTTATGCAGATGTGATGCACACTCTGGATGTTTTCATGTGCATTTCTTTGGGGGTAATAGTTCATCACCCAGTCCCATGCCTCGGGGTACATTTTTTAGTCCAAATAATTTCAGCGATCTGAATCACAGAAAAGCCCACAAAGCAGCTATATTGTTACAGCTATAGGATGATGAGCTGGGCAGGAATAATTAGGTGAAGAAGACTGTGATTGGAAAGCTCTTGATGGATTTAGTTGTCAGGAAAAAAAAAGTATGTGGAACTGCTCTGAGTCTACAGGTTAAAAACAAGTGGAGTAGATTTAGATCTCTTTCATTTGCTTCGAAGGAGAATTTTACTATGAGATAATTGCCATTAATCTTCCCTTCAAGGGAATAATGAACCTTCTCTGTGTAATTGCTGTATAAAGCCTTTGATCTTTTAATTTCAATCTTCATAGAATTATAGAATCATAAAACAGTTTGGGTTGGAAGAGACCTTTAAAGGTTATCTAGTCCAACCCCCCCGGAAATGAGCCGGGATATCTTCAACTAGATCAGGTTGCTCAGAGCCCCGTCCAACCTGACCTTGAAGATTTCCAGGGATGGGGCATCTACCACCTCTCTAGGCAACCTGTTCCAGTGTTTCCCCACCTGCATAGTAAAAAACTTCTTCCTTATATCAAATCTGAACCTAGACCTTTAAAGGTTATCTAGTCCAACCCCCCCGGAAATGAGCCGGGATATCTTCAACTAGATCAGGTTGCTCAGAGCCCCGTCCAACCTGACCTTGAAGATTTCCAGGGATGGGGCATCTACCACCTCTCTGGGCAACCTGTTCCAGTGTTTCCCCACCCGCATAGTAAAAAACTTCTTCCTTATATCAAATCTGAACCTAACCTTGATAAATCTTTATCTCTGAGGTGTAGGTGGTGAGATTCAAGAGCTCTTTAACGAGGGAAGGTGGAACTTAAGTCGGTGGCTTCTTTCTTTCCTAATTTTCCTTATTCATCATTGCTATTTTATGCTCCTTGACCCTCTTCAAAGGAAAAGGCAGGGGAGAAAATCATCTGCTTCCAGCATAGTTTATTTTACTTTTGTGACCAGGACTTGTCCTCTTTTCCTGCTTGTTTTGTGTACTTTATTCTTATCTTGCAGATGTCATTATTTGCACATGTTTCTTTGTACCCTGTTTGTGTAACTACGCCAGAAGCCTCCACTTGTCCTTCTGTGGACCCTTACGGTTGTCACGCATAGGTTTGGATGCCTTGCAAAATGCTTGAACGTTGCTGCTGGTTGTGTTATTAACAGTTTTACAATGTTTCAAAATACTTAAACATTGTCCTCAGCTGTGGTGTTTACAGTAGGTAGGTCTGGATTCAACGGAAGTAAATATTAATTGTATACTGCTTAGCATGCTTGTAGTCTAGGGGTCTCTGTCTTGGTTACACCAGCTGGGGAAGGAAAAAGTTTTGTCGTCTCTGTTGAGCTCCTTAAAGCAGCAACAGAAGTAAGGATATGAGAGGCTGAGGCTTCACCCCATGGGATAACTTCTCTATGGCTAACAATATATTCCTCTTCTTTGCAGTGGATCTTCCTGACATCCTCTTGATTGCAGGATCTCTAGTTCTGCTAGTTGCAATAGCAGTTTGTGTTATACTTTATCAGTCCTTCCGAGTTGATATCGTCCTATTGTATCGGGAGATATTTCAGCCCTACTCGGTCAAGGATGGTGAGTAATAAATGAGCAAGAAAGATTAAAAAAAGGAAAAAGGCAAATCATATGGAAATGAATTTGTTTGATTGTTGTTTACCTAACTCATATGACACCTGAGCCTCATCCTTCACTTTCTCAGGCCTTCTGAAATCATCTAGATAAAGGGGGGAAAAAAATAGCTCTGATAGGGCTTTACCTTCCTTTGTTTCCCGGGTTCTGTAGTGATATATCACATAAAAGAGGGATTCAGTCCTAGTTTGTTTAACATGTTCCTGTGTTTGTTTAACAAAAATAGTTGTCATGATACATTGAATGACAGTCAAAATGCAATTTACATTGCTATTAAATGTACTTGTTATGTACTCTCTAAAGTAAAGGAACCAGCCTGCCAGCTAATGCGTTCACAGGTATGTGTTAGAGCAATACAATTCTTATCAGCCAAAGAGAAAGGTGCCAGTATTGTGGAAGACACATTTTGGGGGGAATATATCCCACCCAACTTTAGGGGTAGACTTCAGCTCAAGATTAAGACATCTAAGTTTAGTCGCGTGCAATGAAGGTGCACACATGCAAATTCCCATCATAAACATGAAATCTGGAGACCTGGGGCTGGGTTCAGTTGTTGAACTGAAAGCATCTAGTGCTACATGATCTCCATTAGGACTTAAGAGAGACCTGAATCCCTCTGCAGTGGCAGCTGAAGGGCAGGCAGTGCCTAATGATGCTATGTGGTACGTGTTTTTAGGTGACCAAATCTAGCTCCTCATCAATAAAATCAATTCAGCTAACCAGGCATAGTGAGCTTGTGTCAGTGGTCTAAACATGGGCATCTAGGGTCATTTGGAGTGGCCAAAAGAAGGAACACATAACACAGATCTGTCGAATGTTGTAGACTTTTGGAGCAGGGGCTGGAGGTCGGACAGGGTACCATAGGAAGTCTCAAATGGCACTAGATGCATATGTTTAGACAACTCAAATGGGCCCCTGGCATTTACATGAGAGTAATCTGAATTACTGTAGAATTCACTAACTGCAATGGCTAGTTTTCCACTAATTGTACCAGGAGTTTAGACATCTAGCTTTCGTGTAGGTACTTAAATTTACTTTTTTTGAGTCTTCAGCTGACTTCTGTCACAGATGTCTGCATGGTAGATATCTATGGTTGATCTAGTTACTTATGTTCTCTTTAGAGAGGAAAGAAGTATGCTTTTTGGGGCAGTTTCCATTTAAATATATTTTCTGATGAAATTAATCAGACTCTGGAAATGGCTATTTCTTTTTTATTATAAGGGTGGCCTGGACAAGAACCCAAGAACCTCAGATAGCAACAAAGGATGGTTTATGATCATCTCCACTGGAAAGTAACGTGCATTTGGGATTAGAAAGCAAATGCTGTAACGGAAAACATATTTGAGCAAAATGAAGAAGACAGCAAAAGAGATAATTGACTTTGTACTTGGTTCTGACTATAAGACTACTTCCTGAGTAAAGGACCTTTTTACTGAGAAGTATGATATGTTGTGGGAGTGATGAGTAATTTCTTCAAGGTGGAAGAATTTAAGTGGAATGTCTTCTCCTAAATGTCCCAATGACAGTCTGTTGTATCACTGAAATAACAAATTATGAGCTTCATCTCTGTTTCATGCTAATATGCATGAATCAGTTCAGTAGTTACTCTATATATTTTAGGATACAGCCTCCATAACACAAAGGTCAGGTTCTCCAAAGCTACAAACACACAAGATGTAACAATTGAGCATGGAAAACACCGAATGTAAACAGTCTCTAATTTCCAAACATGCATCTGATGATATGCATTATTCAGATTAGCAGGAACTTCTACTGAGATCTGTTTCAAAGACTGATATTTTTATTTCTCTTCTAGCTTTTGCAATAGACAGCAGTAATTCACGTTAACACTTTTGTCTTGTTTTGCCTAACAGATGGGAAGATATACGATGCATATGTTATCTACCCCAGAAGCCACACCAGTGAAGCTAATTTTGTGGAATATTTTGTTTACCAGATCATGCCAGATATTCTAGAAAATAAATGTGGATATAAACTGTGTATTTATGGGAGAGATATATATCCCGGAGAAGGTAAGTTTCAGATTAGATTATGCACTGAATGACTTGTCAAGCTGGAGCAAATTGTGGTTCTAGTCCCTTTTACAGATATAGGAGGTTCCTTCATGTTCCTGAGCTGGCTGCTCACCTCCTCAGAATCTGTGTGTCTGCTCTTTCAGGCAGGGTGACTCAATAGCACCCGGTAGCTTGCTGGTGTGCCAAGAAAAGCAACCTACAGGGCAGGGACACAGATTGCTTCTTATCTTCTTGGGTCATTGAGGAAATGTGACCCCAGGTATGACTCTTTTAAATATACACCTGCCCTTTGGGTGGTGTAACTCTGCATAGCCATTATCTGGGCAAAGCCACAACCAAACTGTGTATGAGTAGGTCTACAAGACATGGAAGAGGAGAAAACCACAAACTAAGTTGAGGAATTAACCTTGCTGTTATCACTCAGGGTTTTTCAACCTGTTATGAGGATGTTAGAGTCACAGGAAGTTCAGCTTCTGTTCACTGACGTGACCTACTTTCACTTCATACAATTCCCAGTGCTAACTCAGGAGGCAGTTGGTATCTTTATTCCTGCTTCCTTCTTTTCCAGAATGGAATCACGTTAATTAATCTGTGCTAATTTTCATATAGACACCTCTATGCTACCTCTTACGATTGCTGTTATCCAGGTATTATCTGCCCCTTTTTAGAGCTGACTTGGCTGCTTATTCTGTGCTCTGGTTATTCTGTGGACCAAATCTTCTCTCCCTGTCAGCAAGTAGGCATGAAAACAAAGCTGACACATTTTCTGTTACACATTTCTGAAATCATCTGCGTGGGGCCAGGTGTCATTCACCTGCCCAGAGCTGGGCTGACCTCTTTGATGTCCTTCTCTTTTGGAGAGCTGCAAAAGCAACTGGCCTTGAGAAAACCCATCGCAACAAGAATATAAAAAAAGCTGCAAGAGTTGCTGAGCCAGACCATTCCCAGCATGTCAGATCCAGAACAAGGAAGTAACAGTAGCTCACAAAACCATCAATGCCAAAGATTTATGCCATCTGTTCAGATTAGAGAAAGGGCAATATTTTGTTATGGGACACTGCTCTCAAAGTGTGGTTTTGGATGGCAAGCAGCTGAGCTGAAGACTGTGGAACTAACAAAGGCTCTAATAGGTTGGCTGAAAATAAAGACATTTTCACTGTACAAAGGCCTGTACCGAGGAGTCACAGACGGAAGACTCACCAAGCCAGCCTTGGACAGTAACTTTTGTTTGACTTGTTTGGTCAGATTTAATCAAAACTCTAAAAACGTCCTGAGCATTGACCATTGTCCTTCCTTTTTTCTTCTTGCCTACTTTCCAAGCATTCTGCTTTTCTCTTCCTTGTCCACTTTCATGCCCCAAAATGCTTCTACTTGGGTGGAAAAAATTATTTAGAATGTCTGCCACACTGCACACTTAAAAGTTCTCTGCTTCCAGGAAGATAGATTTTACCCATATTGTCCCCATTCTTGTTTGTCTTCTGATCTTGAGCCTTTCATTACCAGGTTTCTAAATTCAAAACCTTACAATTAAAATATGCTAAGCAGAGTAAACCAGGAAATGCCACTTCAAGCTACTGTAATCCTTCCTGAACGTGTATCGTAGCATTTGATGAATCATAATTTCAACTGCAAAACTTCATGAATTGCCAGGAAAAAAATGCAGTGAGGATATACAATGGAATTATTATTTCAAGGCATGCTTATGACTCTTAGTTTCAAAGCAAAGCTCAGTTACTTGAGATTTGTCTTATTCCAGTAAAAAGGAAAGGTAAACAGAATGAACCAAGTGATAAAAAATACGGCATCTAACCAAACACAGCTAGAGCTGCTGTATCTGTAATACAAAAAAAAAGCCCCATGAACAAATAACAGAGAAATGATCATACTTCATTGGAGCAACATTCTGTGTAGCCAAGTGTCCCATCTTCAGCAGTGACCATGGGCAAAGGACTGGAAAAGAATTTAAGAACAGGGGAAGCTTATATTATATTTCCACGAATGTACTCTTCCAGCAGTATGTGGACTTCAGATGCTCAAATTTTTGTGGATAATAGCTGCTGATGGATTTTTCTTTCATGATATTTTCTGTCACTTCTGAAACCGTATAAACTTCTAACAACCACAAAACAGGTTGCAATGAATCCCTCAATTAAAGCATTTGCAACATACAGACCCATCTTTCCTCTTGCAACACAAATGGCATCAGGAATTGAAATGTAAAAGGTCCCTGGTCCTTCAGTCCTGAGCATGATGGTCTGCATTTCAAAATAGAGAAAGATGGTTTTTTTTAAAAGTGTTTTTATTATGGGAACTAAACGTATGACAGTAGCTGCTTACCTTAATTTTTCTCACCTTCCAAAGGATCTGTTCTCCCAACATCCGGAAAATCTAATGAAAAAGAAGAAAATTAAAGGAGTTTGAATTGGTGAGCATCACAGAAAGGCAAATTATTTTCATAGAATACTCTCAGAGCCAAGAAATAGGATGGAGAAGTCATTGAAAGGCTTCCTGATCAGGAAGCTGAAAAATCTGGGCCTGTCCAAGACTGATAAGACCCTTGCAATGGGCTGGCAGCCCTCAGCAAAGGAAAAGAGGATGCATATAGAGTGGGCTGATGACATCTGCAAATCAGTGGCTTTGTTAAATAATTGTTACATTGAATTTCCTTATCTTGGCTCCCACCTCCTTTCTTCTGACCCAGCATCACATGCTCCCCTCAAAATAACTCCAGCTTCCACTCTGCAGACCACAAGAAACTCTTCTAACTGGAATGAGTGTTTCCGGCAGTCATCTCCAGTCTTGCTGCCATAGATGTCACATCAGGTCATCAAGAAAAGCAGTCCTGGAGGCTTGATGTTGACTTTTCCAGGCTGGCACAGAAGTTTCTCCCACAGCATGCTGGCTCCTGAGTTTCCGAGGTTCAGCACCTCCAACATCACAGTCCCCGTGGTGGTTGATCCTAACACGACAGTGGGAAAGAAAAACACCTTCCGTCATGCAGAGTCTGGATCCACCCCTGCAGGGCAGATGCCAAGCCTATGCATGGGTTAGCATATAAATTAGCATGCTATAGCTCAGGAGAATTAACACTCCCTCTGACGGTAAGTAAGCCTCTTAGAAGTCACCCACCCAAAAGTCTCCAGATAACTAATTTTCAGTCAGATATTGCAGGATCAGTCTGTAAAGCACTAAGCTTGATAGAATGTGATTCTTTACACGGACACTGTTGATCAAGCACAAATTTGATGCAATCCAGACCTACCGAACGTGCCCTTAGGTTGTTAGATTGGAAATTCCTAACAGTTCTTAAAAGCAGTGAAAATATTAATGCTTCAACCAAAGAAAACATCTCAAATGAAGGCTCTAGTTTTTTGGGGTTTTGTTTTGATTTTGATTTTCCCCCTTTGTTGTTTCTTTTTGTTGTTTGGTTGGTTTTTTTTCAAGCTCTATTTCTAATGAATATACAAGACTGAAGTGAGATAGAAATTATTTCTGGTTAACAAAACAATGAAGTGCCTAAACACAAAAGAGTTTATAAAAGATATTTCAGGGTCTCATCTATTTCTTGTATGTTCCTAGATACAGCCAGTGCAATTGAGAAGAGGATGCAGAAGAGCAGACGGCTGATCATCCTTCTAACACACCAGCTGATTAATTGTAAAGAACCTGCATACGATCAACACATTGCCTTATACAATGCCCTCATTCAAAACGATACAAAGGTGATCCTGCTGGAAATGGAGACAATCGGGACTTACGAGAAACTTCAGGACTCTCTTCGGTTTATTATTAAGAAGCAAGGTACCATCAAATGGAAAGAGCAGCACACTGTGCACCCACAGTCATCCAGTTCTAAGTTCTGGAAGCACGTGAGGTACCACATGCCTCCGACACTCAAGTCCTCCTACTCGCCTAATGCCAGGTGAATAGTGAGCCTAGGAAAATACTGGTATGCTATCAGGATGAACCACATGCCTGCAGCACCTTCTCCTTTCAGTAGGTACATGATTTTACAGTCTGGAAGTCTGGCTGTATTTCTGAACTTTTTTCAGCCCTTCAGTTGAATAACAAGAAGGTAAACAAGAAGGAGGAGGTCTGGGGAACTGAGGGAAGTTTTTATAGGTATGGGAGTTCGGAAAATAAATCATTCTAGACTGTATACAGAGTTTTGCATGTCACAGGAAACAAAATATACCTATACTCTTTCTGTATATACTCATACAAATTACTGAAAGTTTTGATTCTGAATACCTCAATGTTCTGCTGGTTTGCTTTAACTTTCTAAAGCAACTGTTCAAAGATAAATGCCTTCTGTACTATTCAATTAGAAAACATAATGTGTATTATTCAACTAGAAAGTATAACATTATGCTTTTGTTCATTTTTTCCGCCACTTAACTCCTTTTTGATCCTATTGTAATACTCATACTATGAAATGTTATTCTTTCTTAGTAGGGATGCCTCACTAAAGGCTCTTTTGACACTGATGTGAATATGGCATTTTTTTAAAAAATGCAGTGTTAAAGGAAATAAATATGCACTGATACATATTTATGCGCAGTTTAGTATTTTTAATATATATATTTAAATTAATCTCACACAGAGTCAAAATTTAAGTCTCTCAAGTACAACAGACCATGCTGTCACTATTGATATTATCTCCAGATAGAATTAACATTTTAAAATGTAATTTTTTTTTTCTGTACACTGATAGCATTCTTGTAAGCTACTGAAAGAGATTTACTGCATTTTTATAACAGCCACTATCCATTTTTTTTCTGTTTTGACCTTTTGCCTACTTTCTTCTGATAGAGAATGCCTTGAGATACAAAGGACAGAACCAAATCTCGTTCTAGTTTAGGGGTGTATGAACAAAATGTTTTCTAGTACAAATATCTTTGCAAACTTTAATGTCTTTAGCTTCTTAAAACCAGGAATTTTCTTACTGTTGGGAAGGCTTGGTTTTGAGCTTCAGGCTTGCTACAGAGATGGACTTAAAAAGTAAAAATTAGATGTAGAGCATCTAAAGTTACCAAGGTCAGTCTTATAGAGCAGGCAAGTAATTTCCTTTTACTGTAAGTTTTCACTGAATGTGGGTCTTCAGACTTATGGTTGGCTATTTGGAGTGGGAAAAATGTGTATGCAATATATGTACAGATTTTTTTACTTTAAATTAAAAGTTCTATGCCAAATTAAACTGATTTTCTTTGACGAGTTATATTTTTAAGTGTTCATGCACTCATTGCTCCCTGTAAAACATCTAATGTTGCATTGCATTATTGCCTCATTAGATTGTGGACAGTATTGGGTCCTGTTTCTAAAGATCCCTCTAGATAAACTTTACTGTCTCTATGGAAGCATCACAAAATGGATTCATGCCAGTGTAGGAGAGATTTGTTTTCTTCCTACATTACCATTTCTTCCCACAGCAAAAATACTAATACTAGGCTGTATGTGAAGGCAGGAAAGCCTGTTGCTTTTCACTGTGAAGATTTTTCACAGCAGCTTCTGAGCAAGACAGACTATTCATTTCCAAGATTATTTTATTTTTATATATATATATATACATATAAAATGAAGCTGTAAAAGAATAAGAGAAGGTGCAGTGAGGAGGTGCATGGGGTCAGCAATGAACCAAATTATTCTCAAACATACTGATATCTTGTTGACTTTTGTTAGCCAGGCATGTAGTTATGATGGTGAAAGCCAAACTCACTAAATGGGTCTTGTGGTGACAATCCTTTTGTATCAAGCCTCATGGTCAACTAAGAAAAACAAAGAGGAAAACAATATAAAGCAAAATATATATATATATATATATATACATATAAAATGAAGCTGTAAAAGAATAAGAGAAGGTGCAGTAAGGAAGTGCATGGGGTCAGCAATGAACCAAATTATTCTCAAACATACTGATATCTTGTTGACTTTTGTTAGCCAGGCATGTAGTTATGATGGTGAAAGCCAAACTCACTAAATGGGTCTTGTGGTGACAATCCTTTTGTATCAAGCCTCATGGTCAACTAAGAAAAACAAAGAGGAAAACAATATAAAGCAAAACCTGACAACTCTTATTGTGATTTACCAGTGGTGAACAGTATGGCCTAGACAGAAAAAAAGTGGTGAAGAACTTTTATAGAACCAGGGGGTGAGTATGTGACTGTAATAATGACAAAAAAATGCTGCCGTTGTCACTTCTTTATGTGTTCCTTGGTGGTTAGCAGAGAAATCTGAGATATGCATTAAAATTAATGTCTTCCTTCAGAAGTTGTCACATTTGTAATCTTAAAGAGAAAGCACAAAAAGAACTGTGGAATGCTTTCACATCAGCATTACATCAGCACTGCTGAGGCCACACAGGGCGTCCTATATCCAATTCTGGACTCCTTGGTAGAAGAGACACGGACATACTGGAGACAGCCCAACAAACATCCAGGAAGTTGGTGAAGGGACTGGAGCATCTCTCCTATGAAGTGGAAAGTGCTGTGACTCTTCAGCCTGGAGTACACAAAGTACAGGGGGCCGGCTGCCTTAGTGGAATACCAGAAGGACAGTCTGCTCTGCGCAAAAAAATCTCACCTTTCACCATAGAAAGCTTATAGAAGAATGAGACCGGATGCTTAAACTACACAGAACAAGGGTAATTTTGTTTCTAAATTAGACCTTCCACGTAGAGATTTAATATCCGAGTAATGGTCCGTACTTTCCCGGTTTTGGGATGGGTGACCCTGGAGAGCAGGTTTGCTCTCGTTAATAGGGCGGAGTCATCACGCCATCTAGTGGACAAACAGGTATCGAGCGGTTCAGACCCATTAGAAATCCGTTTAAGAACAGCATTAGAGTTAATCACAGTGAAATTTTTGGGGTGTGCATACTGCTGTAACCTCCTCAAACCGATACAGCGTTACTTGTAAACAGCATCTCAGAGTCTGGCATTGAGAATACAGTGCTGACTCTCTTATAATAGCATATTTTGAAGTAACAATAGTGTCTCCTTGCCATATAGCTGCAGTCTATATCGAGTCAAATGTCCCCAGTTGTAAAATCTTACCTGTGGACACTTCATATCTGAAAAGCATCTGCTTCTTTGCTGGCAATAAAGAAATAACAAAGAGAAAGAAATGAGCATTGACTTCACTGACACTGATGTCAGCGGTGAAGCTTCTCGTGACTTCCAAGGTATGAAAACCAGCTCCTGCTAATATCAAGTAGGATAACTGCAGGCAGCACTTAAAATGTACCCTACTCACATATGCATTTAATATACACCAGCCCTTGCTGGGAACATACATAATGGTTTGGCCTTGAGGTCTCCTATACCATTGAGATTTGATGTTCCTACAGCTCAACAAAGCATGGCCCCTGATGGCCTCTTCACCTAAACCGAAGTCATGAAAAGCCAGCCTAGCTATTGCTCCTGCCACATGCAGGGAGAGAGTTTTACCTGTATTTGCTTCATGTGGTTGTGAAACTCAAGACTGACCACCAGAGGGAAGTTTTTAGAAGCTTTTAGAAGTTTTTGTAGCAAGCTATTATTTGTAGCGTATGCAACATTAATTTATTACAGCATTGGACAAAGGAATGTTTGGAAGATAATATGTAAAATTCATAGTATGTTCTGTTGAAAAATTGCGCCTGTTCCTGACTGTTTCAGGGTTGAAAAATTACAACTATTGTGTTAGAAACATGAGCTCATGCGTTCCCTTTTCCCACTTTAAAGCATGAGGTACGTGCCTAATTTTAAATGAGAGAATTTTTTGTATAGAAGTTTATTCTTTAAAACTGTTTCCAGTCTTTCTAGATCTCCTGCGAAGGTTATGAAGTAATCCTCCTTGAAGCCATTTCAAAATACATGAAGGAGAAGGTGACTGGATTTACAAAAGGCATACCATGCATATCCAGCTATGCTGTGGGCAAGGGGAGAAGACTGGGGCTGCATACCTTGAATTGAGCAAGGCCTTTGACACCATCTCTGTAGGTGAGTGGAAAAACAGTGGGACCAAAGTCCATGAGGGATCAACGTGTTGTGATCAATATACTAACCTCAGCTCACAGTAAATTAGTAGTGGCATCCATCAGGGACTGATATTGGTACCGCTAATGTTTAGCATCCTTATTAATGACCTTGGCAGTGGGGCAGACTGCGCAACCAACAGATTTCCAGACAGAAAAACAAACTGGGGAAAGATACACACTGGAAGGCAGGACTGCTGTTTGGGATAGAAATAGGCTGGAGAAATGGACTGAGGGGAAATGCATAAGATTCAAACCACAAACAAAGTGCCACATCTGGGATGAATACACAACAGCACAGCCTGGAGGTCAACCCAACACAAAGTAGCTTTGCAGAAAGACACTGGATGTCCTGGTTGACGCTAAGGTGAACGTGAGTCAGCAGTGTGTCCGTGTGATGAAGGCAACCAATTGCACCCTGCACTTTACTAGTGAGAGCATAGATGAGGAAAGTAATTATTCCCCTGTACTCAGCACTTGTGAGATCACCTCTGGAGTAATTGTGTCAAGTTTTGAGCTCCCCAGTACAAGTAAGGCACTGACATACTGGAAGGAGTCCAGGGAAAGACCACCAAGAGCACAGGACACAGAGGGAGAGGACAAGAGGTCCCTGTTTTTGTCTACAAGAACAGAAAGGCTGGAGCCAGGCTCAAAGGAGCACAGCAATGGGACAAAAAAAGCAACTGGCATAAATTAAAAACACAGAAAATTTAAATTACATATTAGGGAAAAAGCTTTCACCATGTGCCTGGTCAGATGCTGGAAAATGTGCCCAGGGAGGCTGTGAGATCTCCATCCTTGGAGGTGTACAAGCCCTGAGCAGGGGCCGGACCTCCCGAGGTCCCTTCCAACCTGAATTATACTATGATGCTACAAGATGGAGAAAAGTTTGAAAACGTGCAGCTTGTGTATTTTTAAATGTCTGAGAGATGTATGAGGCTCTAACAGACATGTTATCAGTCTGGAATTTGCTTTTTTGACATCAGGGGCAGAAAATGTTAAAAAAAATATGGAATATAAATTAACGTCTGCTATGAATTAATATAACTGGTATAGAGAGATGACAGAAGTAGACTAAAAAGGACTATTACCAGCTGGAAGCAAACAGGCTGGGACTGTGGTTATAAGAGTTGGATGTGTTGCTATTTATGATGGAAATAGTTTCACAGTTTAGTTTTTCAGTTAGCACCTCTGAGTAGTGTATGTTGGATGGAAACGAAGATGTGAAAAACTGCAAGAAGTTACTGGTCTTCCCTAGCTGATTGGTCAGGTGGTTGGAGCTTCATACAAAAATCTGTTTTTCGATATTAGTGAAAACTTTCCTTTTCATCATGGCATTTTCATAACAAAAATCTGAGCTGTAGCTATTTTTGGTTGAGTTTCTTCTCTGTGACAAGGCTATGATTTCTCCATTAAAATTGTGTTAGTCTGAGGGCTAAAAAGCGTAAACTTTTCCTCCTTTCATACACATTTGCATATCTCAGAGCTGGCTATGACATTAATTGAAAGGACTAATTGAACACAGCACTTCCTACAACACAGATGAAAGTTCAGAAACTTGAGAGTATTTCAAAAGGATATGAAAGCAAATTAATCTGAGAACAGCTCATGGAAACTACTATTGTGAAAGAGTGAATAATAATAATAAAAAAAAAGTTTCCAAACTGTCATTATCAAGACTTAGCCTGTCAAAGTAAAAAGCTGGTGACATTTTACTCCATCATTTTATTAGTTTGCTGCCAAATTGCTTTCGGCCTCTCAAGTAAAATCATTATCCTCTTTATGATGTATGCTTTCTTTTAAGTTTTAAAATCAGGCACTGAATCACAAAACCAAAAACCACTGCAAAGTATCTTGTAGACATTTTTAAAGCAGTTATAGTGGGTCAGATTCTTAGCTGGCTTTCCTGAAGTTGTGCTGATATACATTAGCTGCTGGTCTGATTGTTTTTATATGCAATTATTTCAGTCTGTGGTGGGGAAAACAAATGAGGTGAGACAGCAAAACCCTCCGGGGTTTCTTTGCTTCACTTCAGCAGTAAAATACGCAAAGAAGCCATCTCTGTGGAATCCCTCCATTTTTAGTGTAAAGTGCTTGTATTACCTCTGAAGTGACACCTCCTGTTGCTATTGGGACCTTCTGCAGTCCCAGCTGTCCTGGGCAAAAAAAAAAAAAAAAAAAAAAAAAAAGGTAGCTCACAACAAACAAATTTCTGAACATGAAAATGGTGATATGAAAATAAAAGCCCGAGGGGTTGAATTTTTTTTTGTGTTGCTATCAAAATCACTTTATTTAGAGGTTTAGTGAATCACTGCACAGTACATCTCAAATAAACATTCACACGAAATAAACAGTGGCAAGCATTCATTTACTCAGGAATAGTACTTAAATTGGAAATACGGCTGTCAGGAATCCTTAAGGGAACTACAGTTCCAGTGTATCAATATTTGGCTAAAAAGCAGGTTCAGCTACTGGCATGAGGGCTTATTTAGAAGTGAATACATACAGTCCTTTTGCAGTAATGGAGCTATAAAACATTTTACATCTTGAAAGCTTGCATTACTCTCTCTCCAAAGGAAATGCCATCACAAGAAAAACAGCGCTGAAATCGGGACATTTCTGATCTAAGTGTTGTGCTTTGATTGGTCTCTGCCTGCAGATGGCATTTCGTAATGTTTTGGGGGCTTTTATTTCTTTTTTTTTTTTTTTTTTTTTTTTTTTTTTTTTGTCTTTTCAGGTGGTTGCGGAATATCAGCCTTTTAGGATACAGTTTATTTCTCTGCACATCCTCATCCTCAAAACTCCCAGCGGGGCTGGAGGGAGGTGTGTTGGGTGGGGGGGGGTTGAGGAAACTGTAGCAGAGATACAAGTCTCTACATTTAACTTAAAATACGTGCCTCCTAAACCTCCATCCTACTTCCACCTCACTTCTTGATAAAGTCCTGCAGCGGGCATTCAGCAGAAAAGCGGAGGAAGAGGCGTTTCGACTAAAGATCACCGAAGATTTCCCCTCCTCACGCCTTTTTTTTCTTTTGTTTTCCCCCGGAAGGTTGTGAGAGGGAAGACCCCCCCCTCCTCCCCCCCCAACCCCAATCTCCTAAAAGGGTTTGCCGGCCGGGGGCCATCGCTGGGTGTCCCTCGTGGGTGCGGGACAGCCCAGCACCCTTTGCTAAGCCCGGCGAGATTTCCAACCCGCCTTCCCCTCTCTCCATCACCCCCCACCCCAAACCGGGCACCGCTTCTTCCCAGCGAAACCGGGAAGCGGACCCCCGCTCCCCGGCGGAGGAAGGGGCAGCGGGGTGCGGAGCTGCCCCCAGGTAGGGCCCGGGGGGAGAGGGGGCGGCTGGGGAAGGGAAGGGAAGGAGAAAAAAAGGAAGGGAAGGGAAGGGAAGGGAAGGGAAGGGAAGGGAAGGGAAGGGAAGGGAAGGGGCAGGTGGGCTGGGGGAGGCGAGGACCGAGTGTGGGCAGCTCCGTCTTCCCTCCCTCGGGGGTGTGGGGGGCGGCAGTCTCCGGCCGGGGGCGGGTACGGCTCAGTCTCCGGGGCACCCTGCCTGACCCCAACCCTACTTGTCCCCAACCCTACTTGTCCCCAAGCACCGCCTGTCCCCTCAGCGTCGCGTTTCCCCCTGTCCTCTCTTCCCCGCCTGCCTTGCCGCGCTCCCCCGAGCCGCCTGGATGCACTTGTTCCTTACTACAGAGATGTCATAAATTAATTTGGCTCTGAAAGGCGCTTATTTCAGCACACAGCCCCTCACCGGCACTGCAAAATCGCCCTTGGCCCTTTCCCTCCTACCTTTGGAGCAGGACAGGCTCCTTAGGTGCTATTGTACGTGGCAGCAGCAAAGGAGGATGCCTAAAACATGCATGCTTCAGCCCTTAAATGCCTCATTTAGAAAAGTTAATATGGGTAATTTGCTATTACCTTTCCCCTAATGCTGGTGAAAATGAATTTCTCACATCTGCCTTTTCCATTTTCCTCCCTGCAGTCAAGAGTTCACAAAGTAAGAGATTCCACTCTTCTTTTTTTTTTTTAGCAGGTTTTTCAGACCGAGCTATGTATTGACTCACTCACTGAGAGAGATTACTCTCTGTTTCAGTGATGGATGAGGTTCAGAAGAGTTGTAAGTACAAGTTGTAATTCTCTGGAGTTTGGAAGACTACCTCTGCATCTGCTTTCCACCTGGCAAAACTTGCATAGTAAGTAAACAACTTCAATTGTGTTCTTTGAAATGAAGATGGATTTTCATTTTTGCCAATAGATTGCAATCCTGGCAGAATGGTGCTTGGACCTAGTATGGTTATGACAACTGTTTGCTAGATCCTTTTGTTTCCTTTATGAATCCTCAGCAAATTATGGCACTGTATGGTGATATTTGAAAAAAAAGAACTTAAATTCCACAAAAGCCGTCCTTAAAGAGGAAAGCTTAGTGCTAAGTTTTACCAAAAGAATTTTTTTTTTCTGCTCCCTCCCCATGTTTTGTCGAAGAATATGCAAACCACAGAGCTCAAATGTAAATACTGTCAGCCTAGAGCAGAGCAATTTGAGACAAATTGATCAGGTTCAACAGCAATGTGAAAGTAAGATTAAGGACCTGTGTTTTGCTGTTAATAGAAGCCCCTAACCTCACAGCTGGTTATTACTGGGTAGCTTGCATTATACTGTGTTCTTTAATCCCTGTTAAAAGAATGAAGGGTTCTGCTCTGCATTCGTTGAAGCTTCCACTGTGTGCTGATGTGTGATGTGCCAAAAAAGAATGGGATTTAGAATTAAAGATATGGTGAGAAATTATTTTATCTTTATGTAGTGGATTATAGTTTCATGGTCTGTAAGAGCTGTATTTCTTCTGGATGTGATGGGGTGAAAAATGAAAAGTAAATTCAAGAAATGATAGTAAAGAAAGGTCCTTCTTTCATTCTCCAGTGTAGCAGTTTGAATCTCCATGTGTAGAAGGGAACTGAAACGAGATCTGAGGAGTTCACTGTATGACCCTTTAAAGTTGCTTGTTGCAGTACTTGGCATCCAACTTCTTCTATCTGCTTTCTAAATCTGGATCTCTCCGCCAGTCAGTCTGAAAAAGGGGATGTGAAACAGTTCTTTCATCTCCTTACAGTGATTTATGGGATGATGGCATACTTGTAAAGGACTGTGGAGAATGGTAAAAGAGGGAGAGAAGCTACGCAGTTTGATGTCATTCTGGAATATTGCTGCAAATGGAGTAGCCTCCTGCCTCTGGCTGCTTTACATCATGGGAAGTTTCTGACTGTAAATCTCAGGGAGGTGTCTTAACAACGGTAAGTATGTGCTTTCTTAAATTGCAAGAGGTTTGGGTAATAAAACCAAAGAAACAGAATGCTAATGAGATTTCTTTTGGCAGATCTCTGTGAAATCTCCCTCTTGTGTCTGTGTCTCATTTGTCCATGCGTGTTCAGGTCAGTGACTGGGCTGCAGAGGCTGAAGCAAGCTCATTATACATCTAATCTCTCCATTTTGTAAGCAAAACTGAGGTACAGTCTCAGGACTGTCCCTGCCTTTGATTGTTGGTTAATCTGCTATTCTGAGGATCTCAGAGAAGATACTTTGCGCTTTTATTATTTAGTGGTGTATTCTGTTGGCCTTTGAAAGCACAGTTGTCTGCATACGAAGCAATTTCAAAATTAGCCACCAAGATGTGCAATCCATCCACATTGTGCTGTTTTCATTGAAGGCAAGGGAGGTTTCTATTAGCTGTTTCCATAAAGTCTAGCCTTGCAAAGTTTATACTCTTCGTGGAGAAAAAAAACACTGGCCTATCCCATGGCAGGTGTCTTTTGGGATCTAAGTTCGAGTGCTTCTACAAGATTGTCAGTTTAATCAGAAATGTGAAATACATCTAGTGAACAAGAAAATGGAGGAAGGAAACCCTGTAGTGCTTTCTGAATTTAAAATAAACTTACGAAGGAAAATCTAGATGCATTACCTGATGTATGAAAATAGCTGTTATGATTAAAATTTGTACCTCTGCATTTGGAAAGCTCTCTTCAGTCCCAGACCAGAGTCACACCACTCACGTGCTCAAAGGAATCTGTTATGCTGAATTGTTAGTCTTTTTTTCTTAGGTTTTTAGAATAAAGAAGAACAATTCTGTTTCATTTTTCTGGAGCAGAAGGGAGAAGTAACTCACGAAAATGACTATGATGCTGTTTTTTTTCATGTTTATCACTGAATCTGCCACTGGTAAGTATAAATCCTTGTTTCAATAGTAGAACCTTCAAAATATTTGCTGAGTATGTATCTTTTTGATGGTTGCTTAGAGTGGAGCAAGATTTGTATTTGCAGCTAAAAAAAAATGCATCTTAAGAGTCTTGGCAATTTCAGCCTGGCTTGGCTCCAGACTTGAGAAATTTGGTCCAAAATATCAAAATTATGAAGTAAATAGAGCAGAGATGCTACCCGGTAACACCTGATGATATTGTATGAGAGCATGGCTGTATGAAGAGCCACAGAAAGGAAGAGAATGAGTCTGCTTCTTTTTGTTCCTCTCAGAAGTGTGGTCGCAATAGTTTCTAAACAACTGTAATGTCTGAGAACTTCAGGAGAAATAGAGACCGAAGGCCTCTTTTTATTCTTGACTATTAATGCTAGACCATGGTCCTTTTTATGACTTCTGAATGCAACGGTACATTTGGGAAATTTGATTGGAAAAGCAGACTTTGAGACTAAATTTCACACACATAATCTCATTCCAAGGCAATTTATCTGAAGTTATTAAGAAATCTAGCCACATAATGATTTAGTTTTAATTAAGAAGATAAGAAAATGCAAGTGTTAATTCATAGAATCTCTGATTTTATGGCAGTTGACCAGTTCTGAGGATTAGCCGTATTTGTCAAGTCAAACTATATGTAAGAGTTGCTCCTTTCCCTTTCCGTTTGTGGCAGCTGCTTTACTGCAGAGTGAGGCCAGGTTCTGCCGTTGGTGCCCATTTGATTCTGACACTGTTGGAGCCACGTGAAAGAATCTTAGGGAAACGTCCTTTTTTTTCGACCCTCCTTTTCCTTCTGGTTTTGCCTGGGTGAGGTAGAATAAAGACTGAGTTCTTAGACTGAAATGAATATTGCTGGAATAAATAAATACTGCCAAACTGCTCTGCTGAAGGGAAGTCATTTTATAAAAGACCAGTGGCACAGCAAATGACTTTAAAGTCAAGCTAATGTAATTTTCTGAATGAAGTACTTGGCTTCCTAATGTATCTGTTTTTCTGCTTTCTCTGAAGAGAAGCTGTGTCCCCTTCGTGCCTCCATTGATGTGCTAGAAGGGGAATATTTTTTCCTTTGTTATCCTGAGTCAAGGCAAGAACATTTTCAGGAAGAAGCGTACACAATAAACTGGTACAAAGAAAAAGCTGGAAAGCAGCAACTGATAAAGGAAACACGTGGAATTGTTCCCCAAAAGAATTCTCTGGAGTTCTGGCCAGCTGAGCTCAGTGACTCTGGGAATTACTCTGTCATTCACAGGTGGGTACACGAGCTGGTGGGTGAGCATCTTGCCTTTGCACTTGTCTGTGAAGAAGCTAATTTCTTTGTCTTGCTTTGTGTTGCTGCTGGCACCCATACAAAGGAGGTGCAGGGAACTACATTAACTGCGGTGCCATTTTTTGACAACATTTCACAATAACCATCCAGGCAGACCTATAATATTTACAAATAGCTATGGCCAGTTGCTGCCATTTAAAGGTTCTATAAACCTTTTGATAAGGCAGGTAGCATTTCTGCTCCTTTGTGATTAATTACCTGAGCAAAATGAGTGATAGGCAACCTTTCTGTCCACTGCCAAGTAAAAGGAAACATTTGCTTGTCTTCTCCACACACTTGTTCTTCCTTACTGCGTTGAGCAGATCTCACCCTGTGAGGCCTGCCAAGTGGTCTAATTATATAGTAAAACAATAAACTAAGAATGGCAAAGCTGAACTCTGGTGCCTGAGCAAACCTTTGCATGCTTGGAGCCATTTAAAGAACAAATGATTTATTACTGCTGTAGAACACCATGAGTTAAAATAAGGGTGGGCCTCAATGATTTGGTGTTAATCTTCATCAGACCACCATGAGAGACTAAAGCACTAAATCAAAGGTTTGCTGCGTGGAGTTTGTATGACTAACTTGCACTAAAACTGTAATTCGGCATTTACAATTGAAGTAATAATTGATTTTAAGCATATGATTTTGCATGTAATGATTTGTGCTGTTCTCTAGGTAGTAGTTTTAAAGTTTTCTGATTTGTAGAGATTATGGGACTGTGGATACTGAAAAATGCTCTATAGATTTCCCCAGTAACATCGCAGACATGAGTTTCAAGAGTGTTAAACTAGATTTCAATTGTCAACTTCCAAATTAACTTTTTTTAAAAAAAATATTTCATTCTGTTAGGCCCATACAGATACTAAATTTTCTGTTAGGATCAGAATGAAGACAAGTGCCAGAATCTTGCAGTCCTCATTGGGGAACTCTTCACAGGCACAGCAGGCATAAGGGGATTTTTTTCATGAGATCTTAATGAAACCTTGGGCTTAGTTTATATGATAGTTCTCACTATTGGCAAGCATGTTAAAGCAGTTACATTTTGGCAAATACAGAAGATTATTTGCAGAAACAGATTTCTGCAGAGACAGACGACTTTTAGTAATCTCTGTTGATAGGGAAAAATTGTGGGCTGTTGTGGACTACTAAATTGGTTTAAGGTTTAATAAGAATGACAATTAGAATCAAATTAGTTTCATTTCAGAGAATCACAGAATCTTTATGGTTGGAAGGGATCTTTGAGTCCAAAAACAAAAACAAAAAAAACCCCACAAACATTTCAGAGCATTCATAATAACTTCTGGTTTTGAAAGCAGATATTCTAAGCATATTTTTATTTATCTTTTTTATTTTCAACTATTTAAGAAATAAATATTTGTAAGCTATAACAGAAGTTATTTTTAGAGTACTTATAGCTGCTCAGGCAGTTTTAGTGAACAAAGTGATAATTAGATATACAGAAGATTTTCAAGAAAACTAAGACTACACACGTGGACAGATCTTGCAAACAAAATCTTGGGATTTTTTTCCCTGTTATGCTACAGCCAACAATATGCAAGAAACAAGAGGTGAAAATGATGCAACAATCTACTTGTGGTGTGTCATCCACTTATTTTTGACTTAAAGAAGAATCAGAAGTTTTCCAGTTAAAGCAGAAGTGTCCTGCTGAGACTTAACATAGATAGCTAAAGTGTGCGTATGTGTGTGTTGATGTGTTCACGTGTGTTTGTTAGTATACTAGGCTTAAGATATAAATTCAGAAATTAATAGACATCACCTGTAAACCTGAATGTGTCCACCTTCAGCATTATTTCTTGAAAATAAAGGATTTCATATGCACTTGTAGTGTGAGTGGTAAGCAGAAAAAACTCGCTCTCACCTCTTTGGCAGAATTTCTGTGTTTTTTCATAGCCAATATCCTGTGGTTATCAAAGAGAAAACCAGATTACAAAAAAAGCAGGTCATCTAGTTTACTCTGGGCTGGTGACCTTCAAACTGAGGGAACTTACAGGTTCCTAAGGAAAAAAAAAAAAAGTAAGTACAGAGAACTGTGATAAACACATAATACATTTAAGATCCTAATATTGCTCACTTTTTCAATGTATTTTGAAGAGTTGAAAGCAGTGGGAACATACACATTTAGAGTTAATATTGTAGTTTGGAAGGCAAAATGACAGTTCTTGAAGAAGATTGAAATATTGAGATAACCCTGGCTTGTTGCCATGAAATAACTAAGGGGTGATTTAGAGTTTGCTAAGTATCCAGAAAATTTGGTTTATATTCTTTAAGGGCTTTCACTTCCTTGCATCCTCTCCTGATTCAAGCTAGTTTTTGTTGTTCCTTCTTGGTGAGGGCAGCTGAAAGGCAGAAATGGCTTTATTCCCCACAAATTATCACTAAATCTCAGCAAATGAAAACCCGGATAGAAAGTAACAGTTCAAACACTAGCAGTTTAAACAATACAACTTAATACATTTTTTTTGTTGTTGTTGAAAATCCTGCATATCGCAGAGAGCTAGAAATTATGTAAGCTGAATTTATCATGGTTGGCATAAGTATGGCTTTGTCACCTTCCAGAGAGCTGCTCCTTGCCAGAATTTGGCTATCTGGTAGAAAATCTTGATCCATTTCAGGCAAAATCCTCATTTTTGTTGAAGTGATTTCACCAAATATCATTGCAAAAGAAAGCCTCTGTGGAGTGACAGTGCTGCAGAGATCATGTGGCTTTATTGTTCCTTTTCTTCCATCTGCTGAATCGAAATAATAAAATCATATGTATTTTAAGGCTAGATTCATAATTGCCTTTCCAGCAGTATTCAGACTTGGTGGAATTAATTGGAATAAGTGTTTATGTCTACACCTAAACTTATCTTAGGTACCTTTACTGTGAGAGAGATAGAGGCACCTTTCTGGGGCATGGGTTATGTTGTCCTAAACCAAACATATAAAATAGGTCACGTAAACTACACTCTAAGAGGGTGACTATCGAGTGTGGTCGCACTGATGCCTGTGATTAGTAGTTCTGATTTAAATGTGTAAATGTGATGTTGAAGAATAGGTGAGAATGACTCCACCCACCGTGAATACCCATGCGAGTACATCTCTGATGGAAAAGTTTTGATAAGGTTTTTCCTGTTTATGACACTGTAGTTAGCTGATTGAGAAACCAAAGCACTATGTTTTGATTTAGATAGTCAATTGCAGTTATGAGTCATGAATACCTCAAGTGAGTAAGGAGAACAAGGAGAACCTGTGTAGGCTGAAAATGCAATCAGAGTAAGCAAAATACACAAATACATCTATATGGTTAGCTTAAAAAGAGGAGAAAACCCAACGCAAAACTTAGTGTAAATTCATCATATAAATGATGTCCTAGTAGTAGCAAATCTTGTAACAGCATGTCAGTTAAGAATGGTGTTTAAACTTGCCAGGCTTGCTTCTCCGTTTCAACTGCTTTGTCCCCTTAGCCCTTCTCATTGAAATGGTATTTGACTAGTTTCAGTTCTCTTGGGAATGATTCCTTTTTCTTTTCTTGGAAACGGAAGGATTCAAACATATTTATGAAGATATGACTGACACTGGGGGGAAGTGTTCCCATGATTGCTGCTTTTGTTTTGTCAGACCCAACTTGTCCAGTAAAAAAAAAGCACTGTATGCACTAGTTGCAAAATCTCACTCCTTAGTTTACAGCAGCATGTGACTTTCTCTTAATCCCTAACTTTGCCCAAGTTAGGCCAATTTTGCTAAACTTAAGCCAAAACTCCTCCAGCTTTTTTTCCCTTGTTAGTCCTGGATTTGGACATACTCAGCAATGAAATAACTCACGTCTATAATGTGATTCTTCTTTAAAACTTAGTAATGCATAGGAGATTAAACTTAGAATATCACTAGCTGACTCAAGGTCCTAAAACTCTTTTATGCTCACTTGTAACTATACATGATGCCACAGATTGTTGCATCCTTGTTCTGGTTGATATAGCACATATTGTCATATTTCATAGATATATATGTACTGTCAAATGTTTTGTGATATATGATTTAGTTTAGATAATATATTTATTTATGGGAAATAACACATGCTTGGGGTTGGAAAAGTAATAAAGGGGAATATAATAATTAGGTCACTGTAGATGTACTTCTTGTGTAACAGATATATTAGAGAATTTATTTGTATTTTGTTGTATACCTCACTAAGCTACATTGCTTTAAAAAGCTCCTAAAACTGATTTTGCTTTTTTCTTTTTTTTCATAGCAATGGAAAACAAAATTTAACAATTCAAAAGTGGACCTTGAATGTGCTTGAAAGAAATAAAAGCAGCTGTTTCAATAAAAATCATTTAACTACAGAAATTAAAAATGCTGGAACTGGTCATTCACTGAAATGCAGTGATTTGTCGGTCAATGAAAATGACAGCATAACATGGTACAAGGTAATTACTGAAACAGTGTCCCTCAAATCATTTGCTATAGAAACAATACATCTGATTGCAGGAAAAAAATAATTACAAACAAGTTTTTAGAAGTATCTACAAACCTTTTACATCTTTAATTTCTTGGCTATTAGGGAAAAAACCTTTAGACAGATGTACAAGTGGAAGTTTTTCTCTGCTCTCAGATTTTTTAGAAAAATGTACCTGTAATCAGAAATTATTAATAAACTGGTAGTTTGGAATGGTAAAAGATCTGATGCTTATGTCTGTTTGCTGATTTAGTCAGCAGCTGGTTTAGCCAGCTCCTACTTTACTGATACAGATATTACCCTGACACTACATGAGGTGCCAAGATACTTGTTTTACAGTTGGCATCTGCTTGTAAAGTAATTGCAAATTTTTAAATTTTGCTGTTTCTGAACACATTTTACAAAATGTGTAGGAAATCCAGTTCTTTTTATTTTAGACAAGTCATGGGTCTTCTCTCTACCAGCTTTTGTCAGAACATAGACGATAGTCATGTTAGTCAATACAATATTTTTATAGTCATACACTTACTTGGAATTGCAGTGCTTTCAACTTCTAATGAGTTAAATGGTCAAATGTTGCTTTTTTGTGACCATGACTGAAAACTGGGCCCCACTTCTTTTGGGTCAGATAAATATAATTGAGATATTTAGAAATGAAAGAGCGATGGTGACGCTCCATTTCAAAGATAATTTTCAACTTCTTTGAGGTTTTGAGTGTATGTTTGCTACAGAATAATATTTTCTGTCTTTATTGATGCAGGACTGTAAGAACTATGAAAATGAAACAGAGCGGGAACTGGATTTTAAAACCCTAACTGTACAGCACTCTGGGATATATACCTGTAAAATTTTAATCAGTCATGAAGGAAAGATATACCAAAGCACAAATACAATTAAACTGGTGGTAGAAGAAGGTAAGAAAGCTTTCTGGAATTTTGAAGCATTTGTTTTTGTTCTCCTTGCTATGGAGATTTTAATTACAGGTCTCATTTGATACATATATGCAAAGATGATCAAACCTGGTAATCCAAACTATTTTGCCATAATTTAAAAAATAAAAAAAGCAGCAGAAGAAGTTTATATGACATGTTACCAATTTTGGAAAATTTATTTAGTATATTTTCCCTGCAGTTATATTTTTTTTTCAAAATTAGCTGCTGTAAGTTACACTAACTTACTAAGAGTTTTGGGGTAGAGCCTTTCCAACCATTATAAATTGTGCACTGTATATGTATGCATGTGAAAAAAATTCAACAGGACATACTGTGTTTTAAACTACTCAGTAGTGCCAGAGTCTGGGTATTGTTCTTTGAATTAAATTGAATGTATGTGATCAGTTTTAGAAATAAAGTAAATGTGTAATTTTTACTGTGGTAGAATGTAAGTAAGGTGTTACTTAATAGCTGTGCTTCTTTCTATTTTAGATGCACCAGAGGCTGTAACTTTGGAGATAGTTGGACACAATGAAGAAATTGAAACAGAAATAGGTATCAAATTAGTACAAGAATCTTTATGGTAGCTATTGCCTATATATGCTTTTATTCTGATCTCTTTATGGTTGATGGTTTGGCTAAGTGTAATCAAACTAGGAATTGTCTGTGCGTCCATCTGGATCTGATCCATCTTCACATCTGGTTATATTTTGCATAGTGCATTCTAATGATTGATATCAAAGTACACTACATTTCCCCTCTTATGGAGGCAGAAGCTGAGATTGCTGCTACGACCAGCAAGAGAAAGTGGTGCTAATGATAAACCAGCTTTCCACGGCTTTTGTAGATAGCAAACCCCACAGACTGATGTGTGAAAGACATCTGGTTTGTTCAGCAAACAGCAATAATGAATAATGCCCCTAATACCTGGTGCAGTTGAGGACGTTGTGCTGCAGGGAAATGAGAAGTGTGAGGGCTGACAGTCCTGGCGATGTGAGCATGCAGATCTGTCACTGCTGCAAAGAATTGGTTGTATCATCAAAAGCCAAACCCTTGGCTGTGCTTCTAACTGGGAGTAGGTTAGATAGTGCAGTCTGGAGGCTTCATACAGCATTGGACGAGATCCAAAATTTTGTGATTGAGGCTGTAAATTTCTTAAAACAGAAATTTACCTGTCTTTTTCCTTTCCTGTGATTGAGGGCTTCTTCAATCTGGTTACCCAGTCCTTCCTTTCCAAGTCTAAAAAAGATTTTACCTCCTCTGTTGCTTGTAAGTGTATCTCATTTGCTCAGCCAGGACCTCAGATGCTAATTTTTCTTCCTTCCTACAAATACCAGTTGGTAGGTCCTTTTTCCAATGGTAGTACCCCAGTTTTATGCCTAATGTTTCCCAACCTTCCAGCACACCCTTTCTGCACAGTTCTTCCTGCCTGACTAACCTAGTGGCCTTCTATGATAAAGTGACTTGGTCAGTAGACAAGGGGCAACCTATGGATGTGATCTATCTGGATTTCTGTAAGGCCTTTGACACGGTCCCCCACAACATCCTGATTGCCAAATTGGAGGGGTACGGATTTGATGGGTGGACTGTTCAGTGGATAAGGAACTGGCTAGATGGTCGCATCCAGAGGGTGGTACTCAATGGCTCAAAGTCCAGATGGAAACCAGTCACAAGTGGTGTTCCTCAAGGGTCCGTGCTGGGGCCGGTGCTGTTTAACATTTTTATCAATGATATAGACAGGGAGATTAAAGGCACCATCAGCAAGTTTGCGGATGATACCAAGCTGTGTGGTGTTGTCGATACACCAGAGGGATGGAATGTCATCCAAAAGGACCTGGACAGGCTGGAGAGGTGGGCCCAGGTGAACCTCATGAGGTTCAACAAGAGCAAATGCAAGGTTCTGCACCTGGGCCGGAACAATCCTCACCATCAGTACAGACTGGGGG